CAAACTATTGTTTTAACCTTTGATGGTCAAATCTTACCAAAACGCATATTTATGTGTTATAATGCTCTTAATGTAGATTTATACATATATCCTACGATACAATGCTACCAATGCTGTCGCTTCGGGCATACAAAGTCTCAATGTAGATCTAAACCTCGATGTTTCAAGTGCGGTCAAAATCATACAGGTGAGTCTTGTAATACTTTGGAAGAAGATGCATCCTGCTGCTTATGTGATGGATATCATTTTGCTAATAATAAGTTATGTCCAGAATTTGTAAGGCAGTCACAAATCAAACTTTACATGGCACAAAATTGTGTATCTTATGCTGAAGCTTCTAAATTGATACCATCTATTTCTAAGTCTTACGCTGAAACTGTAGCTGCCCCACCTGCAAAATTGTCCATGAATGAGATGGAAAATAGTAGAGCTGTTCCCAATGTAAGCCCTAGGACATCTTACAAGAAAACTACATTTTTGAAACCTCGCTCTTCTCCTATTCCTACAAAGGGGTATGACACAGTTGCTCATAAAGCCTTATTAAAGGAATTTATGATTCCTTCACCTAATAATGGATGTGGTTTTAATAATGATACTAATTCTGCATCAGGTACACAACTTCCTACAGATTTTGTTACTGCTCTTTTCAATCTTTTTTCCCAGTTTAATCTCTTCCCACCGTCCAACGCTGCACAGAATATTGATAATAATATGAAACCAACTTTAAATGGACAGACAGACAGACAAAATAATTCAGTGGAATTGCTGTAGTGCTATTAGTAAAAAAAGTGAAATAATTTATTTACTAAATAAATATGAACCATCTATTTTAGTTTTATCAGAAACATGGTTAACATCACAAAAACACTTTCAAATTAAGGGTTATACTTCTTTAAGAGACGATAGAAGTGATGGGTTTGGTGGTGTAGCCATTCTCATAAAAAATGGTGTTAATTATGATCCCATTAGCATATCTATAAATCATAAAGATATTTCAATTGTAGCAGTGAAAGTATATAATATTAACATAGTATCAATTTATATCAGTCATCCATCTGCACCAATTTTTGGTGAAATAAATAATTTATTCTCTACCCTTCCTAGACCCTTCTTAGTTTTAGGAGATTTTAATTGTCACCATAGAGCATGGGGAAGTTCTATTATTAATAGTTATGGAGTAAATTTATTAGATATTATTGAGTCACATAATTTATGTTACTTGAACACAGGATCACCTACAAGACTCACTGATCCTAGACTTAATAAGAGTGCAGTAGATTTATCAATATGCACACCAAATTTGGCTTCTTCTTTATCCTGGCATACTTTATCTTCTACATTAGGAAGTGATCATTTCCCTATTATTATTACATTTCCGTTTAATAAACCTAGCATTTCCCAGAAAAAGTCTACTAGAAGATATAAATTACCTGATAAAAGTTCTAAAGATTGGATTACTTATAAATCTAATGTAGAATGCAAGCTTAAGCACCTCCCTGTTATAATACATGGAAATGAAAACATTTGCGCTGAAGCATTATCAAATATTTTAAATGAAGCTGCCAGAGAGGTGTTTCCTGTCAAAGAAAATAATTGCACAAAAATACCATCCCCTCCTTGGTGGGATAAAGATTGCACTGAAGCGGTTAAGAAGAGAAAAGAGGCTGAAAGAATTTACAATAATAATATGTCTGAAGCTAACTATGAATACTTGTCTAAAACGATTGCTGAAACAAAAAGATTATTTAAAAAGAAAAAATTTGACAGTTGGAAAAGTTTCTGTAGTTCTATTTCTCCTAACACACATCCTACTCTTGTTTGGCAAAACATAAAAAGATTTAAATCTTCATATAATATATCTTCTGGAATTACTATTCCCACCGAAATAACTATTGATTTCATGGACAAATTGGCCCCTTCATGGGTTCCCATACTCAACACTGCACAACCTTCGCAGTCGTCTTATAATCAATCTGGTTTAAATAGCCTCTTTTCTCTTCGTGAACTGAAAAGTGCAATATATCATGTTAAAGATTCTGCTCCGGGGGAAGATGGAATCCCATATTCATTCTTTGCTAATGTAAGTGACAATATCCTCTTTTATTATCTACAACTTATCAACACTATCATGTTAACAGGAAACATACCTCTGTCATGGAAGTCACAAGTAGTGTTGCCCATCCTCAAACCAAATAAACCACCATCTGAGGCCAGCTCATATCGACCGATAGTTTTATCTTCTGTGCTAATAAAATTAGCTGAAATTTTAATTAAAAACCGTTTGGAATGGTTTGTAGAAAGTCAAGGTATACTATCGAGAACGCAATATGGATTTAGAAAAGGGAAAAGTACAATGGATAATATAAGTATTTTCACAACTGACATACGTATAGGTTTTACAAACAACGAATCTATAGTGGCTGCTTTTTTGGACATCAATTCTGCTTATGATAATGTGTTAGTGTCAGTATTAAAAAATAAATTAGAATCGCTAAACATCCCGTCAATGTTAACTAATTTTATTATGAACATATTAGAAGAACGTAATTTGATTGTTAGTTTATCTAGTTATTCAGAAATAAAAAGGACTGTATGGAAAGGGTTACCCCAAGGGTCAGTCCTTAGCCCTTTGCTATACAATATCTATACACATGATTTGGATTCTTGCTTCGATAATCATATAAAGCTTTTACAATATGCGGATGATTTGTTATTATATTCAACAAACCGATCAGTTGAGATAGCTGCGTCACATATTGAGTTGGCCTTGATTTCATTACACTCCTGGATGCTTACCAATGGCTTAGATTTATCTGCATCCAAAAGTACAATCGTAGTTTTTTCAAGAATGAGGAATCCCCCTTTAATTAGAGTTCATTATAATAACTTGCCTATACCAGTTGAATCACAAGCTAAGTTTTTAGGTGTGATATTAGATTCCAAGCTCTCCGGTCGCTCCCATATAGATTACATTATCAAGAAAACTGAACGACTATTGAATCTTCTTCGATGTCTCTCCGGTGTCTGGTGGGGGGCTCACCCTCAATCGCTCAAGTTGGTTTATAACGCGCTAATTCGAAGTGTATTGGATTATGGTACTTTCCTTTTAGAACCTGCCAGCTTAATTTCGTTAAAAAAATTAGACGGTATTCAATCAAAAGCACTTAGAATTATAACTGGTGCTATGAGCTCAAGCCCAATCAATGCTTTACAAATCGAAACTTGTGAACCCCCACTCAGTATTAGACGACAATTTCTTGCAGATCGATTTTTGTTCCGATCTCTTCAATTCTCCGACCATCCTCTTTTCCACCTACTTAACTCTCTGAACAATGAAATAACTACAGCTAGCTATTGGTCTCATAAACAACTGCCTTGTTTAATAGTAAGCTATCAAAAATACTTGAGCCTCCATTCACCTATACATCGGTCAAACCGTCTTCCAGTGTTTAATATAGATTATGACGCCTTGCTAATTTCACCATCTGTAAGGTACGATCTGATAGATAAACATAACGCTAAAACCTTTAAATCAATTATAGATTCCGAATACGAAAATTACCATCATATATACAGTGATGCTTCTAAGTCTTCCTCTTCTGAATGTACGGGCATAGGAGTCTACCACTCTCAGTTTTCCATTGTGCAGAAAAGTAAACTTCCTCCGGAGACATCTGTATTTACGGGGGAATGCCTTGGCTTACTAAAAGCTGTCGAGTATGTCGTTCTCATGAAACTAAATAAATCAATAATATTTTCTGATTCAAGGAGTGCTTTACAAGCTATTGATAATTTTCCATTCCGTACAAGATTATATAACCCACTTGTGTTTGATATAAGAAATAATCTTTATAAATGTGTTAAAAAAGGGTATCTGGTAGAATTTGTGTGGCTTCCAAGTCACGTGGGAATTCAAGGTAATGAGAAGTCTGATCAATTAGCAAAAGAGGCAGTACATTGTGGAGACATGTTTCCTTTTAAAAATTATACCCATGACTTGCTGTTGCTGCCGTTGTGTCATTTGCATAAGGAGTGGCAAACTTATTGGACAAATAGTGGACAAGTAAAGGGAAAACATTATTATCAAATACAACCTAAAACTATGATGAAACCGTGGTTCCGTAAAATTAAGATCAGTAAGACTGCTACTAGTATTTTAATACGCTCGAGAATTGGTCATGTTAGTACACCAGCACATCTTACTAAGCTGGGAATTGTTAGTGATGCTTCCTGTAGGTGTGGGTCAGACTACTGTGATCTTAACCATATATTGTTTTCTTGTACACTATACGATCGATCCGAATTCCTTAAAGATCTCATATCCTTACGTGTTTCCTTTCCCACATCCATAGTTTCTTTGCTCTCGTCTAATAACATATCAGTATATCAATGCATAGCGTCTTTTATAATGTCAAATAATATTAAAGTCTAAATATCGTTATTACTTTTTATGTATGTTATATAACGTATATATTCTATATATATTAATATTTTCGTTTCCTGATCCTATTGCTAAAAACCTGTCGCAAATCCTATTCTTTTTCCTACCATCGTTTCCCTACCTTTGACACTGGCAAATACACAAACCGTGTGAAGCCAAAAGAAGAAAAAAAAAAAAAACTTGGAGATCTAGTGCGTTAAAAATCTATTACCGTACCGCTGCTGCTCCAAATAACTTCAAAATTGTTAGAAGTTTGGTACGAACTGTAACAAAAAAGGAGCCTATTATGGCTTGTTTGAATATCCCGCTTATATGATAATTTGAATTTCTCACCATAGTTTATTTATCTACGTAGTTCGCGCGATAACTTTATAGATGACGTTAGATGTTAAGAAAAATTTTTCCTTTATTTGTGTCTATGCAGCCTTAGCTTCATGATGCAACCGGTATTCTTCTCATAAAGTATATTCTATGGTCACAAAGTTTTGCGTTAACCATACGTAGTATTTCTTATTCGTCTGTGCATTAACCATGGAAGCCAGGGCCGGTAAAAATTTTGAAAAAAAAAAAAGAAATATTTGAGTCAACATCGATTTTGGTGTTGTTGACTGATTAATAAAATGATTTTAAAACATTTATGTATGTATTAAATCAATAAGTGTAAAGATTAAATTTAAACAAAAAGACATTAGATACTATTTGAAATTTTTTAGACAAAATACTACAATTTGATAACCTCTTTCTTTCGCATAACTTAATTTTTGAAACTTTCAGTGCCAATATGTACAAAAGTATATTTACTAGTTGGTGAGTTCACATTTCAAATATTTGGATTCTTTGTTCAGCAATATCACAGCAGGTGACCTTTACATGAACGTGTTACGCTTCAATATTTTAGGTTACCCTTAAGGTTAATCAAAAGAGAAACTCCTCTACGATCTAGTAAATTAAAAATTTCATCCATAATTGAAAGACAATTCAGAAGACCCCTATCATTGTCAATAGTTTGTTGTAAGAAAAGGAAAAGTGCAGAAGAAAAGGTAAATACATGAATTATTTTACATTACAATTATTATTGACTCTAGATATAGCAATGAATTTAAGAAGTTTTTTCCTATAGGAATTAGAAAGTGGTGGTATACGTCCAGCTCTCAGATACTCTCCTAAAGCTAGTTCTGATGTAGTTGGAATATGGCGTAACATGACTGTGCAAGACATAGCCAATGTAGTTAAAAAAGATATAGGTAAGTTATATCATCTTATAATCTGCATATTGAACCAGTTCCCAGGTTTAGTGAAGCAAAACAAGTGTCAGTCAATCTGATTTAAAATACTACTACTACTAAATTACTAAATTAGTTGGGGTGTAAAGGGGTCCGAACAACATCTAACGGATCCCAAGCCAACCTCACCTGCACGCGGTACACCCTGCCGACTAACCAACGAGGCTCTGGCGCTCCCCACCAACCCGCATTGGGCCAGCGTGGTGGGAGATGGCCCAAAACCCTTCAGAGATATTAAAATAGACCCAAACGAAAGGCCCCGAGTGCCCGGCGGTGCCGTAAGCCGTGCTGGCGCGGACGGACGCCTACTCGGCGAAGGCACCAGGGGTGCGAAGAATCCCCGGGCGGCAAAGATCCCCCGTCAAACGACCTTGGCCCTGGCAACCTACAACGCACGCACACTGCGGACCGAGGAGAAGCTGCTGGAACTAGAGAAGGAATTGGGCAGGATTCGTTGGAGTATTGTAGGATTATCCGAAGTCCGAAGAGAGGGCGAGGACACGATGATCCTCAAATCCGGTAACCTGCTCTATTTCCGGGAGGGCGAAGATCTGTCCCAAGGTGGTGTCGGGTTTATCGTCCACAAGTCTCTCGTGAACAATATTGTACAGATCAGAAGTGTATCGAATAGGGTGGCGTACCTTATACTCAGAATCACCGAACGGTATTCGCTGAAGGTCATACAGGTTTACGCCCCGACCTCGACACACCCCGACGAAGAAGTGGAAGCCATGTATGAGGACATTTCCCAGGCAATACATGGTTCCACGACCCACTACACTGTTGTCATGGGAGACTTTAACGCAAGGCTAGGCAAGCGTAGCGATGAGGAGTTGAAGGTGGGGCAATTTGGATCTGGGATCCGGAATCACCGTGGTCAAATGCTAGCCGACTACATGGAGAGGGAAGGACTCTATATGATGAACTCCTTCTTCAAAAAACGGTTGCATCGAAAGTGGACCTGGAAGAGTCCGGATGGTGTGACAAAAAGCGAGATCGACTTCATCATGTCGACTAAGACTCGGATATTCAATGACGTCTCAGTGATCAATTCTTTTAATACGGGAAGCGATCACCGTATGGTAAGAGGCACATTGAATCTAAATGTAAAAGCTGAACGGTATCGACTAGTGAAGTCTACACTCCGTCCTGAAGCCACCCAGATCCGCGACCCCGAACACTTTCAGCTCGAACTTCAAAACCGCTTCGATTGCCTGGAGAGCTGCTCGGATGTGGACGAATACAATGACAGGGTCGTAGAAACTGTCCTTACGGTGGGTTCAAAATTTCTCAAACCTCGCCGTACTCAAAAAAGAAGCAAGATCTCGAAGCAGACAAGCAAGCTAATGGAAGAAAGGCGTGAAATGGTTCTGCAGTCTTCTGAGGATGCTCGTCGACAACTCAATAGACAGATCTCGAAGTCTCTCACACGCGACATACGCCAATTTAATACTCAATGTATTAAGGAGGCGATTGAGCGGAATAAAGGCTCCAAAGTGTTCGCTAGAGATCTGTCTCTCGGACAAAGCTTGTTGACGAAGCTAAAGACAGAGGACGGCAGAGTAGTTACATCCCGTCCTGAGCTTGTGGCGGAGATCGAACGCTTCTATGGACAGTTATACACAACATCACAGAAACCTGTCATTGAGGCTAGAGACCCTAGAGCCAAATTAACCCGACATTATACCGAAGACATCCCGGACGTCAGTCTATACGAGATTAGTGTGGCTCTCAAACAGCTCAAGAACAACAAGGCGCCAGGGCATGATGGAATCACAGCGGAACTTCTGAAAGCGGGTGGACTACCAGTCCGGAAAGCGCTTCAGAAGCTATTTAATTCCGCCATACTCGAGGGCAAGACGCCGGAAGCATGGCACAGGGGTGTGGTGGTGCTTTTCTTCAAAAAGGGCGACAGGACCCAATTGAAGAATTACAGACCCATCACGCTTCTAAGTCATGTGTACAAGCTGTTTTCGAGAGTCATCACGAATCGTCTCGCACGTAGATTTGACGACTTCCAGCCTCCTGAACAAGCCGGTTTCCGAAAAGGTTACAGTACCATAGACCACATTCATACGCTGCGGCAGGTTATACAGAAGACCGAGGAGTATAATCTGCCTCTGTGCTTGGCGTTTGTGGACTATGAGAAAGCCTTCGACTCCGTTGAGACCTGGGCCGTGCTTAGGTCACTCCAGAGGTGCCAAATAGACTATCGATACATCCAAGTGCTGCAGTCACTGTATGAAAACGCCACCATGACAGTTCGGCTCCAGGATCAAAACTCGAAAGCAATACGACTTCAGCGTGGAGTGAGACAGGGCGACGTTATATCGCCGAAACTGTTCACTGCCGCACTGGAGGACGTGTTTAAGCTTTTGGACTGGAGAGGACTTGGCATCAATATAAACGGCGAGTACATGACGCACCTTCGTTTCGCTGATGATATCGTAGTCATGGCTGAGACCATGGAAGATCTAGGCAAAATGCTCGAAGACCTCTGTAGAGTTTCCCAGCAAGTGGGTCTTAAAATGAACATGGAGAAGACAAAAATAATGTCAAACTCCCATGTCGTACCCACTCCAGTGAATGTTGGAGGCTCTACACTGGAAGTTGTCGACGAGTACGTTTACCTGGGACAAATAGTCCGATTAGGTAAGTCCAACTTCCAGAGAGAGGTAAATCGACGGATCCAACTCGGCTGGGCAGCGTTCGGGAAGCTACGCAGTGTATTCTCGGAACAGCTACCGCAGTGTCTCAAGACGAAAGTCTTCAATTCGTGCGTGTTGCCAGTGATGACATACGGTACTGAGACGTGGCCGCTTACGATGGGCCTCATAAGGAAGCTCAAAGTCGCCCAGAGGGCAATGGAAAGGGCTATGCTCGGGGTTTCTTTGCGAGATCGAATTAGAAATGATGAGATCCGCAGAAGAACGAAAGTCACCGACATAGCCCAAAGAATTGCGAACCTCAAGTGGCAGTGGGCAGGGCACATCGCTCGCAGGACTGACGGCCGTTGGGGCGGTAAGGTCCTGGAGTGGCGACCGCGAACCGGGAGACGCAGTGTTGGTAGGCCCCCCACAAGGTGGACCAACGATCTGGTAAAGGTCGCGGGAAGCCGCTGGATGCGGGAGGCGCAGGACCGATCGATTTGGAAATCTTTGGGGGAGGCCTATGCCCAGCAGTGGGCGTCTCTCGGCTGAAGTGATGATGATGATGATGACTAAATTAGTTCTTATTGTGAAGAAGTAGAGAAATATTACCTGGGGCCTATGTGCATTTTGATTGAACCCAATGTCAACTAAATTAAAAGCAATGTAGTTATGGGGGCAGGCATACTGAATCCACCCATCATTGTTAACATTCTCTGCCATGAACCATGTCATAACCTATGTACCCATCAGTACATGGACGTAATGCATACATAAAGTGACATATATAACAAAATTTGGACAAAAAAGTGGGTCATTTTTACATCCTGGGCATATCCTCAGTGACTTCAGGACAATCAATCAAAAAACTGGACAGTTGCATTCAGATTGGAACATCTTGTCACTGGATAGATAATGTAATAATAAAAAGAAACAATAGTTTTAGTCCTCTGTATATATTCCACATTTTCATAGTCTAATAGAGTTTTTAGTAGTATTTGTAGTTTTACCTATTTGCAATGTCTAATTAAGTAGACTAACAGTTAGTATTCTATTAGCCATAACAATTGTTACAGTATCACTTCTAGTCAATTTTATGTTTGGTTTGCTTTCAGATGGAGTATTTATTTTATAATTGGTATTAAAACTATAAATTTTGATTTTTTCATTCTAGATCATATACTCAAAGCTCTAGAATTTGCAGACAAGACTTCAGATATTAATTATAGTAAAAATACTGTGATACACAATCCACAAATCATAAGAGATGTTATAAAAATATGTGGATGCAGGTATAAGTTAGTTGCAAACCCCGAAAAAGAGGTGGAAGAAGAACAGGTAAGTAAAATTATTTGAAATGAAACAACTTTTAAATGGTTTCATCGCTTTTGTATTTAGTTTTATTGACATTTCAGACCCTTTACAAGTTCTGTATTCACAAAAGACTATTAGCCAGTGCTATATGCCAACCTTCATATCTATTAGAGATAAAGATGAAGGTTGCCATATAGCACTGGCTTAAATAATTAAATAAATATTCAATCCATATCACACAAATCTTAAGCCAAAAGAGACAGTTCATTCTGTTAATATTAAATCAAAGGGACCAATTCACATTTCTTGTTGGAGTTTGTTTCGCCAGTTCTCAGACAAGACTCCCAAATTTGGAATTGGTAGTAGATTACAGTAGCCAGGGATAAATAAATAAGTCTATTGTATTTTTAAAATTATTTAATTAAATAAATGTAAACTTTGCCATAAAATATATCTTTTTTGTATTGTAAATGTGTAACAGTATTGTTTTGAAGGTAGTTAATTTTTAATTAAAAATACAATCAACACCTTAGTCTTATGTGAACACGGAACCTGTAAAGGCTGAGAAACGTTGATAAAACTAAATACAAATGCGATGAAACCATTTAAAGTTGTTATGGATAGTATGTGTGAAAATATCTTAAATTTTCTTAAAATAAAAATATTTCATCAAAATTATCTTAAATTATCCATAAAAAAATGGAAAATATTTTTGAATTATAAAATGATCTTAAACTTACCTCTAAAATTACTTAAAGTGCAACAAAATTAATTATTAGATTGTTGTTGTTTGAAATGATATTTCCCGTTATGTTATGGACAATACGGTGTTCTTTAATATGTTTATAAATAGCACAAAAAATGTTGTTATGATAAAATGATGGTGTCATGTGCATTTTTAATATTTATAATTGTGTGTTGTAACAATGGTGAAACTGTCATATCAGCTAACATAATGCTACATAAATAACTTATTCTTCATATCCGTAAATACATTATTTTCTGTTAGAACAAAGATGCTATCCCTGAGCCTCCATCGCCTGCAGAAATGCTGAAACCACGACCACCTGTGGTGTGTGTCATGGGACATGTGGATCATGGCAAAACTACACTGCTAGATGCACTCAGAGATACGTCTGTTGTAGATCAAGAATTTGGTGGTATCACGCAACATATAGGAGCTTTTGAAGGTAGGTATTATGATCAGGGACTTGTAGTGCTCTTATTTGAGTAAGAAATTAAGTATCTCGGTGGCGTAGTGGATAAGCGCCGCGGCCCGCTATCGTAATCGTTAAGCAACTTTCGCAAGGGTCGGTCACGGGATGGGTGACCAAAAATTATTATCTCGAGCTACTTCGTGCTTCGGAAGGCACGTTAAGCCGTTGGTCCCGGCTGCATTTGCAGTCGTTAATACCCTTCAATCCGCATTGGGCCAGCATGGAGGGTCATGACCCATCCTCCTTAACCATCCATAAGGAAGGCCTGAGCCCCTGCAGTGGGGACGTAAAAGGGCTGGTGATATGTGATATGATATAAGTACAAAATTATCTTTCATAGCAGTTACGCTTCAAGGTGTTTTTTTTTTTCAATTCTCTAATCTTTGAAAATAGAGATTCGTGTATTATAAAAATAAGCCACTTATTTTCAACCTTTGATTCAGTGAAGGTAGAGTTCCATGTTAACTGCAGAATTTCGATAAATTCTAAACAGACTTACTGCTCTCTGAACATACAGAATTTGAACTGGGTTGTTTGTTAGGTAATTTGTTTTTATATGATTACAATGTTATAATATTTGTTCTAGTGAAATTGTCATCTGGTGATAAAGTAACATTTCTTGATACACCTGGACATGCAGCCTTCACCTCAATGCGTTCTCGTGGAGCACGAGCAACTGACGTTGTAGTGCTGGTGGTAGCTGCTGATGACGGCGTTATGGAGCAGACTGTCGAATCAATCCGTATGGCTAGGGAAGCAAATGGTAATTATTCATTGTCCTATATCCTATCATTATGATTCTCCTAAAAGTGGAGTAGTACAGAAGTAGAGTTCAGTAAATTGGTAGATGAAAAAGTTGTTTTTGTTGAGTAAAATATCTTAAGGTTTCTCAATCTGAAATTACTTATTGCAGTTCCAATACTCGTGGCGATCAACAAAATCGACAAGCCAGGTGTAAACATTGTAGGTATGCCTCAATTTTATAGTTTTATTTATCATTTAGGCCCTATATAAATTAACTTATTGTGGCATTTAAATAGGTCATGTAACTTGATATGTTGCTAAGGAATCAAAATAGTAGTTACAAATACTTACATTACATCACGATTTTCATGAAATGCTAAAAGGTCAAATGCTCATATATTGTCAGTCATTGAATCAATTGAATCCTTTTTTGAGGTCTATTGTGTTCCAGGAAATTATTTTGCTTAACACTGTGTGACCAATTTAACACAAAGAGTTTCTAACCCCAAAATCAACCTTAATATTGTATTACGAAAAATATGATCTAAATTTTAAATATAATTTTGGTTTTTTCATATATATTATATATTTAAAGGTAGTGCTATTTTTTACCTAAATCTGATAAAATGTTTAAGTTGGTATATATTCATCTTACAACATGTATGTTAATATTATATAAAATATTTTTTTGTTATTACATAGGAAAAAACAATGCACTCGCTAGCCCAACATGGTATTGTCTGTGAGGCATTAGGAGGGGATGTGCAAGCTATACCAATATCTGCACTGAAAAAGAAAAATTTAGATACTCTTGTTGAGGCTCTGACATTGCAAGCACAACTAATGGATTTAAAAGCAGACCCTGGAGGATATGTCGAGGGGGTTGTACTTGAAGCCCTATTAGATCCACGGACTGGGTAAGTTATCTGTTAATTATAGTAAAGCTAATTGTTCTAAAAATTCAATTGTAATTTAAAACTGAAGTATCGGTAAAGTTCCTTTATCAAAACAAATCAAAATAAACCGCGCTGGTTTAGAATACACTTGACGTCATCTAGTATTAATAGTTTGATTTAATTAATAAACATTTGTGAAGATTTTCATTTGTTACTCTTTGACACAGTAACTGTAACTATTGAACAGATTTTCATTAAATTTGGTATATGGATAATTTTTAGCTAGGATTAAATTATAGGCTAGTTCTTGTTCTATTAAACAAAATTATGATAATATAATACAGTTCAAAGTAACTAAACAAAATAAAAGTAATTGAATCATACATTGCAAAAATACTATTATTATCAAAGACAGGCAGACAGTTGCAACAATTGATGTGGCCTGTATCCCGATATCTTTTGTGCAATATATTTTAATATTCCTGTTTCATGAATTTGTCTAGTCTATTTTTTAAATTAGTTTGTTGTCTGTCTGTCGTTTCAAGCTTCTACCACGGTTACTAAAAAAGTGCTTGTGTGGATTAATAGACAATGCCCTTTTTGTCAAGTTTAGATGATGTCCTCTCAAATAAGTGTTACGGAAATATTGAAGTAACTGATTGTCGAAAATTTTGATGTAATGCCCATGCAGTATTTTATATACTTCTCGGAATTATTAAATCCAATAATTCGGATAAATCCATCAAATATGATAATAGAAAACGGGGGGAGGGATTGTAACCGTGTGCAGTACCACCGTTTATTTCGTCCTAAGTTTCCGCATGAAAACTTTTTCCCTTTGATATTCAACATCATTTCTTTTTATTATGCAACTTTAGTAATTTGAAATTTTGACTAAGCCAATATGCTCTTTATGAATGTTAGTTAGTAAAAAATTCATCTGGTGTGAACATAAGAATGCAATCATATAAATTTAAATATAAAAAAGTAATAATAATTAAGTTATTATAATTTAAAAAAGGAAAATGTTAATCTAAAAGTACCTCTTCATGAACTATCGTCCAACTTTTATCTATTACAGAAAACCCAGAAACGGGTTTTCTTTTTTCTGTTCTTTTATGACCGTATAATGAAATCAAGTTTTCAAGCTTAGTCAGCCTTTCTTTCATTCGCCCAAGCATCAAACGCGACACAGGGTTAAGGGCGCATAATCAAGTAGATTCGGGCTTGAAGGACCATGTGGACGAAACCGCTGATGGAAAGCTAGTGTCAGTCTGAATGGTCACTATTAACAGTATTTGTGTACAGTCGGCCAAGAAAGTGGTCTACCACCTTAAGCTTAAGTTTGCGTGTACGTCAACTAAAAACAAGGTTGATTTTCCGTTGCATTAAGTTTCTGACACGTCAAGGACACGTCATTATTGCTATCCTCATCATTTTGACGTAACCTTTGACAGTAATTATCCATACCTATAATAAAAATGTAACAAAATTACGTCTGTAAGATATTTTGGTAAAATATTTCTCCAAAAACCAACAAAACTGGTCCACACACGAAGCCGTAGGTGGAAAGCTAGTTATTTATAATCCATAATGGAAAATTTAGTTCCCGACTACGATTCCGCCCGAATCGAGAATACTTTAGTGTTAGAATATCGCAAACAAAGTCTTATTCTTCAATTATCCTACATTAAGTAGATTAATTATAAGATATTCTAATGCAAACAAAAATTTTCAGTAGGTAGTGAAATGCTATAAATAAGAAGCTATGCGTGTTATAGGTCTGAATATACTGAGATGACGGATAATAGAATAAATAGAGACGAAAAACATATTGTGCCGACCCTGCTTAGTGCGAGACAAGGGCTTAGACTAGAAGAGGTAGTGAAAATGCTATTTCTTTGGTTGTTAAAAAATATATTCAATTCTTTTATATAATTATTAAAATCTTGTGTAGGCGCCATCTGCCTCTATGACAGCTTGAAGACGTTCCCTCATCGAGCCCACCATCGAGTCTTGAAATCAGACCCACGGGTTTCCTCCCAAATCTCATTGCAGTGCCCTTGTAGTGCTTCTGCTGTTCATTCATTGCGGTTATCTTATATTCTTTAATTGTTTGTATGCAATTATAAGTGTGAAAAGGGAAGTGTTGTCAAAACTGGTAGTCCCCTTCTTGGCCGACTGTACCTTAAAAACATTTTAGTTCTACGTAATATTTTAGTTTTACTCCTGCATTTCCTTAGTACCTATTTATATTGTATTTTTGTTCAGTAAGCAAGCTACAGTATTGGTACAGCGAGGGACACTGCGTCGCGGGTGCGTTATTGTAGCCGGAATGGGCTGGGCCAAGGTAACTTAATAATTCAAAAATATGTAACATGTTTAAAAAAAAAAACAAAAATATTACTTATTCAATTTATGGTTACTCTTTATAGGTACGTGTGCTGACAAATGCGGAAGGAAAGTCAGTTCAAGAAGCACCACCATCATCACCCGTGTCGGTGTTGGGATGGCGCGAGCTGCCTTCAGCTGGTGATCAGGTGCTGGAAGTAAGCTCCGAGGTGGGTGACGTCTTGTATCTAAGAGATCGTTCAAGTATTAGGTACCACAATTTTAGAAAAATTTTGACCCCGTCCCCAAATGTAAAGCGTCGTAACGTTTTTCTGACCCCTCCCCTCCACTACATAAACGTTACGTAACAATCAAGTGTCGAACCTAAAGGTATGCCAGCAGTAATAAGTTGATTGGCTTTATTTTTTCACAGTTATACTGAGAAGTCAGTGTAAGATTCGTCAGTCCTGTTAGGTCCTGGGGCGGTAGTCTCGACACAGTTTGCGAACGCAATGTCACCGAATTCGGTCGCTAACTCATAGCGATCGTAATTTAACGAATATTGCAAGTCTCTACATTTAAAGTTATCGATTTTTGTCGGTGGCGTAGCGAGTTCAACTGTCAAATTAACGAATTTCGCTAGCTCCTTAGCGACAAAATTTGACAGCTCGATAAGTGACTTTTGAGATCGCTAATAATATTTTTTTCGATATTTTACTGAATTTCGAGGTATTTATATCGGAAATTTAGTTATAATGATATTTAAAACGTGATGGCTGAAGTATATTTAGCATTAGATTTAACAGTGCTTGAACATCGACACCTAATGGCGAGGACGGCAAATAGCCAGAAACAGGCGATGTCTCCAAAAATCTTTGGCTTTAGATGAGACGGAATTTCTTATGCTATATAGAATTAGCAGAAGATAGATCGAATGTTTTTATACCTAAGATTATTTCTTATTTCAATATATTTTATGTAGGTAGATGTACAAATTAAAAACGACCATATAAGTTGTAAATTCACTTTTATTTATTTTACTCATTGCCTATGTATGAATCAATGAAGCTTCGGCCTGCTTCATTGCAGCCTCTGTCTGCTATTTTGATGCAGCTGCCAGCATCTATAACAAATAAACTATATAAATGTGGGACTCCCTTTACCCATATATAGGTATTAGTCTCATATTTAATCTTGTTGAATTTGATGTAATCATAATGTTTTTGGGTATTTTTTGTTTATTTATTATTAATTAATTCATATCAAATACATAACAAAATCACGTTTAATAAAGATTGTGTAAACATACCTTCATTGATTCCGCATTTGACTCTCCAATGGCGAGAAATTGAGTTTGCCCGAATCTAGAATTGAGATCTAAAAAACAGTATAAAAATATTTATCATTATAAATATTTATTATATTCATCACAGTATGAACAATAAACATGAAGATTGTACTAACTTCTCTTCCTTCTAGACTGCACCTCATTTTGAGTATCGGGAGCCGTATTGCCAATGCATACTAAAATAATAAATAGCATTACGTTAGTAATATATTCCAAGAGAAGAGAAGTAAAAATCATATCATAATATTAATCAAACACAGTGAATTCAAAAAGTGCATACTTAGCAATATTTTATATTCAAAAAGAACTTCAAACAGGTGCGTACTTAGCAATATTTGGAGCACGCGGAGCCTGCTGCACGTGTGACTCCGCATCTGAATCTCCCACCATGACTCACAACACAAATTATTACAATAAATTATGTGAAGTTTTTCACGAAACCTTAACCGTAATAAACAATAATGTTTTGACATATCGATGACATCAAGATGTTGCAAGGAAACAAATTTTAATTTACAATAATAATCAAATTGATTTAACACATTTAATAATAAATTATGCTTTTAAAATAAATAAAAAGCAATCATTTACTAGTACGCATTTTTTAAATATTTTTATTTGCTAAATTGAACATGAAATCATTACTTAAAAACAAAAAATGTTGTTTTGATTTCCTTAGATTTAAAATAATTTTGTCTGAGGCAACATTTTCTCCTTTAGGAAACTGCACTTGAACTGCACTATGAATACAGATTTTCGATATGTTAGCGTCTGAATAGTTTACGATTTTGCTCGCTAACTCGGTAATAGAGACTTGCACTTGAAGTAACGATCGTTACCGCAAACAATTATTTTCGTTAATATTTGACATTCGATACTTTGCGATCGTATCGCTATTAATGTCGAGACTGCAGCCCCTGGGTAGCTTAGTGGTTAGAGCAGTCGCCCGGATTGCGAAAGGTCGTGGGTTCGATTCCCATAACATAACGCATGGAGACGATTTACAAGACTCCCAATTGCATTACGTAATACTTGAACGCCTGACGTGTACATGTAATATAGGCACATTCACAGCAGGGCTGGGGGCTAATTATCTAATTTTAAAATATCGTAACCTGTTTCGATTTGATATTTAAAAGATATTCACGAATTTCTCGCTACAACTATTTGACACGTGATAGCGATTACGATTTCGACGTTTTTATTTAAAGATATTGAATGAACAACTTCTTTTATTTGACGTTAATTAAAATTGTCTAAGGTAAGCGTTAGACGCAAATATCTTTGAAAGCTATTGAGAAATGTCAAACGAACAAGTTGTAAACAATGGGCAGGCCACTACTGAACTGATAATTGGTGGGACAAACAAAGTAAAATGGAGACCGCGGATCGGCAAGCATAGTGTAGGACGCTTTTAAAGTAGGTGGAAAGGCGATCTTAGCAAGGCGGCGGGCACCTAGATGCGAGTAGCCAAAAATCGAGTTCGATGGCTTGAATTAGGAAAGGTGCTTATATCCAGCAGTGGTCGCACACGGGCTGATGATGATGTATGTTAACTGCAATATTTTTTCGGGTTCCATGAAGTTTTTAATGTTTTTATCAATCAAATTATTTGTTCCAAAAGGGATTACGTCTTTGAAAGTTACATAATTCCATAAATCGCTTTTACAATCGCTATATCTAAAGAGATGTTGGTAGATTTTAAGCCCACTGATACGTGGTTGCCGCGTCGGTGAATGAAGTCAGTTCCGAGATGAATACTGCGTAACTTATTAATAGTCTTAACTGACTTAAAAGGAATGATAAATTATCATTCAATTTCTGTCTTTTTCTTAATACATATACAAAATAAGAGATTTCTTTTGTTAACTTTTAATATACATATTATTTTTTGTGTTTGATTGACATAGTAGTAACATCGGTTAGCATCTTTATTATAGTTTGTATCTGTACGTGAATCTGTAATTGTTTATCTGTTTCACAATATTGTGTATACTTATTACAACTATTGATTCACCTTTGAAGAAAATATTTTTATATCCTTAGAAAAGAGCAAATGAAGTAATGAAATGGCGGCACAACCAACGAATGAAGGAAAGGCAAGTAGCGGACCTTCAAGTTATAGAGGCGAAGGAAGCAGCACATAGAGCAGAGTATCACGCTGCACTAGCTAAGAAAAGGGCCATGGGCCGATACAAAATGAAGCGTGAAGGGCCAAGGGAAAAAATGCTGCAAGAAGACACTCATCCCGAACTCAGCGTGATCGTGAAGGGTATGTATTTTACAGTCCACAGCACCTTAAGTCACTACAAAAGGCTTGTCCGATAGATTTGAAAAAGTTCAAATTGTAGATATTTAACTATTTGCAGTAACCCAATTTGATTTTATAACTTTTTATAAGTTAAATTATATTCATGGTATAGGGGTCAAAATTCTTAAGGTTTTATTGAATATTATTAAGGTTTTATTATCAAAGACTACTTATTTATTCTTTTTTTATGATCATTGGACATTCAGTAAACAGAAGTGTGCACATAGTGTGTTTAACGTTTCATAGAAGTGTGTAATGGTTTCTTATTAATTTAATGTATTTTTGAAGATTATTATAACAAAATATTTACATTTTACGCTTCTTAAGCTTTCCCAATAAACTCAACTGTGCCAAGATTCATAGTCTTACGCGCAAATATTATAATTATGGCAAATAATCAGAGAGTAGAGTAGTAGTAGTTTTGTTCATGGGACAAGCAAATTAGCTAAGCCATACAACCAAGTCATGGGTGTAAAATATTAGGTTGTGTATAAAGTCTTTTCGCATATAGTATGCATAAACTCGTAATAAAATCTTTCTGGCTATACCATTTGTATCTGGTAGGTAACGGTCTCATTAAAAAGTTTAAATAAGATAACTCCTTGTGCAGTTTCTGTGAGAGTAGCACAAATTGGTTTAAGCTTTTTCAGTCCGGAAATGTTGATGTCAAAAATGCACGTCGCCCAGGTCGCCCTGTTTCGGATAAAATGGATGTTAAAACGGATGTTCATTTTTGACAAAAGTGGAGCAATATCGGCATATCTGTAGTTACGACGTAGCCTAAGAATTGGGGATAGACCACAAAACAGTTTTGACCCATTTGAAAAAACTGGGTACAAAAAAGTTGGATACCTCACGAGCTTACTGAAAGAAACGTACTCATTTGTGATTCGCTATTACGACGTAATGAAACCAAACCATTTTGAAATGAAAAGTGAACCACGTGCGACAAGAACATGTGAAAAAGGTCGTGGTCAAAGGTCGATCAGGCTTCAAAGACTGTGCTGAAACCAGGGTTAACTCGCAACAAGGTGATGTGAGTGATTGGAAGGGCATTATTCATTATGAGCTATTACCGCCACGCAAGACTGAACTCTACCGCGAACAATTGATGAGATTAAAGCAAGAAGTTTTTCATTGTGACAACGCTAGACCTCACACATCTTTTGCCACTCAGCAAAAATAAGAGAGTGGCTGGGAGGTGTTAAAGCGTCCACCGTATAGTCCTGACCTCGCACCTTCAGATTTCCACCTGATTCGGTCTCTTTAGAATTCTTTAGGCAGTGTCAGGTTAACATCACGCGAGCCCTGCCAGAACCACTTGTTTTTGATCAGAAGCCCAAAAAATTCTATAGCAATGGGATCATGTCCCTACCTACAAGATGGCAAAAGTTATCGAACAAAATGGTACCTACATACTTTAGTTAAATGTTAAAAAAAACTTTATTAAAAATGTTTTGACTTTTCATATAAAATGTGAAGAAACTTATTCCCCAACCTAATATCTATGCAATATATTTATTAATGAACAGTAAACTCATATATCGACGGCGAAGTGCCAATACCTCCTATCTAACATTTTTCGAGAAAATGACTTTTTTATTTCATTGATGTTAAGGTCGTTTTCCGCATGGGTTGATGAAATCACCTATCCGTATTTTTGACAACCGAATGTGGAAATAGCTTCTAACTAAATTAGCGTATATAATTTATGGCAATTTCTCCTATCTACGTACAAGACTACTACATCTCAACGCGGAACATTGCCGATTAACTTTTCACAGCGGCTGCCGCGCCGCGGCTCGTGATATGGGTGAAGTTAGCGGTAGGGTTGCGTCGCGTCACTTGCGAGGGTGTAATATCATTCGTAAAAGCAATTTTTCAAAGTAATTATTGTTTTAATTAAAATCAATACCTTCTATCGTACAATTTATTTAATGAAATCACTGAGGATGTTAAACCAATACCTTCTATCTAACCAAATACCTACTAAACGATTATTAATCAAATTAATATTTTATTGAAACCTAAGCCTGTCATATTGATATGTGCTCCATATAAATTGATTTCTTGATTTTAACGTTTTCAAGAAATTAAACATTTTTTTCACTTTGTGTAAAATTTTGTCTGTGTTAGTTAGAAGGTATTGGCACTTCGCCGTCGATATGTTTAGCTAAAACGATCTATACAACACTTTCTACCGGTAGACAATGCCTCTTTGACATTGTGTACATATTTCTACTAGGCGATAAAGATTAAACAAATGATAAAACTACATTTTATTGTAGGGTTGGGTATACTGTAAGTCTGTATCCCAGTAATAGAAACTTTAATGGCCTGATTATAAGACATACCTACTAGCTTTCCGCCAGCAGCGGCTTCGCCCATGTGGTGCATATAAATTACATTCTCTTAGTGGATGAGATTCAAAAAACACGTAAAAAACTTAAGTCATTTAGAATAATTAGTTGAAAATTTGGTAAGTTTTTCATATATAAAAAATTTGAGGTTTGCCTTTTACATATATAGAAAATTGTGTATAGGTGATGTGGACGGTTCTGTGGAGGCGATCTTAGACATATTAGAAACTTATGACGAGCACGAGCGCGTGCGTCTCGATCTTGTACATTACGGCGTTGGTCCAGTCACTCCTGGCGACATAGAGGTACTACTTGTTTGTAAATTAACATTTCACCTGAAGTCTATTATATTCTGTTCTAGTCATTATAATTTGTCTTCGAACGGAAATTCTGGAAAGTTCGAATCGAATATATATCGCTGAACACAAAATTAGTTTTCGAAATGCTAATAAGACTCCAAAGAAACGCATTTTTAGATAGTTTATGCTGCAACGTAAATACACAGTTCATCTTTACGGAAATGGTTTTAACAAAATTATAAGAATAATTTGAAATTTTCCTAATTTTCGTTCGATTTCGAAAAATGGAAAAGGCATCATGATAAACTCCCAACTCGTCTTAACTGTTAGAATTGAAATAAAATTGAGTAAAAATTTATCTTCTTTATTCACACCTACAGATTGCAGAAGCATTCAAAGCTGTGATATACGCGTTCAATGTAGACTGTCCACCGACCGTCGTTGTGGAGGCGAAGAATAAAAACATAACCGTTAAGAAGCACAACATTATTTATAAATTAGTCGATGATATAAAAGAGGAGATCAGTCTTAAGATACCAAGGAGACAAGAGGAGGAGCTTATAGGTGAGTAACTGAAAAGATGCGCGTTCGGGTCTAAATCGGAATTCCTGGTCAGGAAACCCGAACACGGATAACGAATATGTATGTTTGAATGATTATGTACGTGCTGTTGACTGCGCATGAGTTTGATTTATATAATCGTCATTTCTTATGACTCAGCGTAGATATTCCACAAAATCGTTCTAATTAAAATAATGCTTTGGCACCGCAAAATGGTATACACTGCTTTTCTCAAAAGATGTCAGCCTTAAGTGCTTAAGTTCATTTTAACAACTACACGGGTGGTTAGAGCGATATTGTTTTCACATCTGTGCCACTGTGACGTTTTGTCAGCGGTTGTAAACCTGGATGACTGTCATTATTTATTTTGCACCGAAAATTTTATTGAAAATTGAGTTTAATTTGCAAAGTTCGTGTTTTAGTTCGGACTACAGCGCTAATATTCTTCTGTGTTTAATGACATGAAAATCTATGGAATTGTTTATTTGGATATCGATTCATGTCATGACACGGATATAATTACAATGACAAATTGAATAGTAAACAATGGTTATATTAACCATTGTTTACTATTCAATTTGTATTTGGTAACGTTTTAATTCCCTATACAAACTTCTAATCCTATTTTCATCCTTTTGATTGCTATTTTTCGGGATAAAATATAGCTTGTGTTCACAACATATCATGTAGCTTCCCGTAAGTGAGTTTTTAATATCGGTCCAGTAGTTTCGGAGCGTATTCGTTGCAAACAAAAAAAAAGCAATCAAATTATTCTACTATTTGTACGTGAACACTTGCATATTATGCTGATATATTTTATGGTCGCGAATTAACATGGACAATCATTTGCCCACCTCAACGGCCCACCTGTTCATAATGCTTAAATCAATCCTTATAATGTACAGGTGAAGCAAACGTGTTGCAACAATTCATGGTGTCCGAAGGCAAGCGCAAGGTACCTGTTGCAGGTTGCCGTTGTATCAAAGGTTCGCTAGCACGCAACGCCATCTATAGGATTATACGCAAACAAGAAGTCATCTACGAAGGTATTTTTCTATTATAAAACTATTTTACAGAGAATTTATACTATAGTCCGGTCGCGCAACAGAGAGAATTTCGTACGTTAACCTTTGTGCCGACTGCTAGACATATCATCAAATAGATTACTGTGATAAAGTGGCTAAATGCATCTGTACGATTGCAATAGCAATATGTTTGCGCACGAGTGAGGGATATGTAATGCCGGGTCCTTGTAAGAAATTCTCTCCATAACGACTGGACTAAACCTTTAACCCATAACAAGAATAATAAAAAAGCTTTTGTATTGTGCAGGTAAACTAGCATCCATGAAGCATCTCAAAGAGGAAGTGACTACTATCAAACGAGACATGGAATGCGGATTGCGATTTGATGATCCGAAACTAGAAGTAAAACCTGGTGATACGATAATTTGCTATAAAATGGTAGACGCTTCAGACCGAACTAACTGGGACCCGGGATTTTAAATGTTTTTTAATGTAAATCAGTAAATTATTAATTAGTCATTTTTCTTTCATTTAATTAACCTCATTTAGGGTTTAAAACCCAAGTGAAAAAATCTGACAGATTTGTTTAACCTGAAGTGCTGTTGACTGTACTGAGTTTAGAATACAAGAGGACAAGTTTTCTTCCAGCCGAACTGAGAATTTGTAGTTTATTTTATGTAGATAAAGATTGATATACAATACAAATTATTGAAAACTCGCTTCTCCGACAATTAAAGGTCAATACGCTTTTTGGAGTTTCTTCTACACGAGGAGCACTTAAGAAGACAAAACAATAAAATACGTATTTTAAAGAGAATTTTCTATTTAATTATTATTTGATAGGCTTTCAATTAATTCATGTCTCACCGAGTTTTGAACAAAGAATTCTAACAAATTACATTAGATTATATACATAGTTACAAAGGTTTACTGTATTTTATATAAAGACCATTCATCAGGTTCGCAGAAACTTCACAACTTGAAGTGAGTTACATTTTTACATTATAAAAAAAATAGATATTTCCAACTGGATTATTTATCTTAAAATATACAAGAGAACTAAAACACGATTGATTGATTGATCCTTTTAAAGTTAACAAACTAGCCCGATGACAAAAGGCTCTCGCAGTTAAACACGTTGGTAGCAATTCGGTTGCACAAACTAGACTAAATAAAGTATTAGTCCTGCCAAACTCCGTCTTCAATTTTGAAAATTACTAATATAACAGAAGTAAACTAATATTGAAGTATATAATAGTATTATTATATTTTTTTTCCTACAAACGACTACTAAAGAACAATGTTAATACAAACCTTAATATTGTTCTATAGTTCAGAGTCGTACAGCATAAAAGAAGTAATGACTGCATACGGCGAATTTAACACATAAAATATTATGTAAGATCATATTCTACCCCATTCGTTTTTATTATTAAGCTTCTGGTGAAATTTATATTCTGTCGTAATTATGTGATTTGACAACTGTTCAAAAAAATATTCTGCTTTGTGGTAACCGTTACTGATGCTTAAATCTTTATCATCATCATCAACAGCCCTTTACGTCCCCACTGCAGGGGCTCAGGCCTTCCTTGTGGATGGTTAAGGAGGATGGGCCAAGAACCTCCACGCTGGCCCAATGCGGATTGGAGGGTTTTAACGACTGCAAATGCAGCCGGGACCAACGGCTTAACGTGCCTTCCGAAGCACGGAGTAGCTCGAGATAATAATTTTTTGGTCACCCATCCCGTGACCGACCCTAGCGAAAGTTGCTTAACGACAACGATCGCGGGCCGCAGCACTTATCCATTACGCCATCGAGCTACTCTTTATCAATCTTTATCAATTTGTTGCAAACGCCAATTATCTGATTTCGTAAGGCTAGCTGCGATAAACATAACGTTTAAAAAAGGATATGTGAAGAGATAAATTGAGGAAGTACCTATTTAAAAAATTGTCGCTACGGACTTTGAATTTGCGTGCGTCGAATCTAGTGTCAATCAAATTATCTATGAATACGTTCAAATTTTCTGTTGGATGTAATAAAACTGAATTTTGAGAATTAATAATAACCGACTTATATGTAACTAACTTTCCGCCAGCGGCTTCGCACGCGTGGTACTGCATTATAGATATAACCCTTTATTACTGAATATTTATGAAAACATCATGCAGACAGCAGGAAGAGACTTCGTTTTATACTATGTATAGGAACGAACGATACTGTCAGTTTTTATGTCGTCTTTCCAGACAGAATTGACTGTATATATATCGAACATAGTATTTATTTTTGTATATTTTTAAAAATTCTTTCTTAATGATAATTATATAACATAGCATAGCTGCTCAGGGTGTAACTGCCATTTTAACTAGTGATTATTTTGAACTTTAAATCAACTTAACTAAGCCTTACTTTTCGGTGTCAGAATATTATGAGTATAAGTATAATACGGCTACTTTTTGTCTTAACAAAATATATGAGAATTAATGATTTTGCCAGCATGGGTCAATTAAAAACGTAATTTACTAATGTTATTCTTCTTTTAGACAGGAAGTAATAACAAATGACATTAACATTGCCTTTTTACTTATATCTGTCTCGTATATACTTAATACACATCATTATGACTTATTTATCACTAGCACAATGAACTTTAATCGAACATTGAACAAAAATTTCAAAGAATTTCTGAATATTATATCTTGATTTGATTAAGGCCACATAAAACAAAATTTATACAGCACAATATTTAAAATATTTACAAATAACTTTGATATTTATTTCACAATACAACTTACTTTTGAACTCGACTTAAACAGTAATGGAATAATAACTTTCGGATATACCAAGCTCTGCGTTGTCTTTCTATCAAAAATGCCTTAGCTTTAATATTAATTAAACATATATACACAATCAATAAATCCAAGATTCATGCTCAATTTATAATGTACATTCATACAAAACGTTAAACGTAATATACCTACATAAATAATAGTGACTATAATATTAAAACAACATAATTTGTATACAAGGAAATGAAGCACGTATATAGAATTATTCATTAAATATTACACTCAAAGGTGCGCACGGGGTTACCGCGATTTTACACTAAAATAAATTGCAAGTCTAGCAATTAAATTGCAGATACAAATAATATTTTATACATTTGTAGATATCATCGCGCATAATACCGAATAAAATCCGTACATTAAGAATTCGCATACATGGATTATCCCTAATAGGTACTCAGTTTTTAGAAAGTTCTAAGGAAATTTTTATACAAAGTATATTAATGGTTTCTATAAGAGGCCAATTCTTAATATATATATAATGACAATTAATTTAATAAGTAAATTCCTAAATATACTTATGTATAGAGGAATTTACATTATAAAATAAATTATCGTTGGCAAATTATATTTCCATTCTGTTCAATAGCGCTGCATTTCGTCGACATATTGGATAATACCATAATAAAATAAAACGAGAACGAAAAACCTTCAAATGAAATTGTCTATTTAAAATTAATTATAACTAACCTTAATTAACAGCTGAAATAAATCTCTTGCAAATCTTACTCATTAAATTTTTCGATAAAACTCTGAGTCTTACAGACGAGTCAATGGGCTCAACATTAAAATCGATTACAAAAAAAATAAAATAATAAATACTTAGACAAGGACATTGAAAAGCACACAAGTGCATTAATGCTATATATTAAGCAATCTTTGATCGCCAGTACCTTAAATTATATTTACAAATGTGAGCCAAGAGAAAGTTGTCTCCTTAGAACAATACAATATACATTTTGCTATACAATTGAACTATTGCTATCTAACATTTGCAAACGTATTTCATTTCCTAATATTAGTAGAAATGCAACATATGTATTTCCATCTGGAACTTTGCTGTGTAATTGACACTTATTAATAACTTGTTATACATATAATTTTGTAAATGCAATTACAAGAATTATTTATTGTGTGTAGCGAGTGATGAGATATATCCACCGGAAAGTTGCTTTGACCCAGACGCCATTTGCTTACTTTTACACACTCTATTGAGCCTACTTTTTATGAAATAATGTTTAGATTTTAATCGAAATTCCATAATTAAATCACTCAATTATATAGTGGTTAGTTATCAACATATTGTGTATCATATATTGACATTATTTATGTTCACAATATATTGTTATCATTGTGGAATGAAATCAAACTTTACCATAACATATTATTAATAACAAATCGAAATAACCTCTTAAAAATAAAGACATATTAAGAATAAAGTTTCATGTCAAGGTTTATATATTTAATAAGTATATACCTATTTATATGTTTACTCTACATAATAACGAAATCAACAGGAACTTGTGTTGTAGGTAAGAAAGTAGTTCAGTCATATTTGTCATAGCCTTTCCCAAACCACGGGAGACTCGAGAGAAGTTACATATCGATTTCATTTTCACGTTTTTTACAATTTTTTAAGGAATATAATAGAAATATAGAAAAAGATCTTTAGAAACCAGTAAAATTTTGAAAGTCTTCTAATAATGTTGAAACAAACTGTAGGTATGTCGTTAAAAATGGGTGGTTGACCGCAGGGTACAGTAGTATTAGCACGGTCGCCGAACAGAAAGAATTTTGTACAATGACTCGGCATTACATTAGTAATAACAAAGGTCAACGTACGACATTCTCTGTTCGGCAACCGTGTTACAGCAATGTGTTTAAGAGGACGACGCCCAAAATCACTAACTCACAACTGGTTTTAAACAAAGAAATAAGGATTACAACTGGTTTTAAACAAAAAAAATATGATTACAAAAGTTGTGAAAACTATGTACATCATATTTCTAAGGATTTTGTCACAGCTGAAACGCGAATTTAAAAAAGATTGGACTCCAAATTAAAAAAAAATACAAGGTTACCTCCCAAAACTACGCTATATTTATCAGTTCTTGTTATTAAAAAAATAAACAAAGCATCTCAAACGAGTCTTAATTAAATACAGATTTTTACGCGCAATCCGCCATTTTTTTAATTAATTGGTGCTTATCTATCGTCAATGTTATTAGGTTAACAAAAGAGAAAAACAGGGTCTTGGATTTACAATGACAAGCAAAATATAATGTGAATTGTATTAATTTTTTCCTGTATATTTAAGTGCAAAACACAGAAAAGCTCCAGTATAATTCATTCTCACATACACACAACATATGTAATTTTTTCTAACATTAAATAATTTATAAGCACTCCACCTGTCCATTTAATGACTACATATAATTCTTTACAAAAGTGTTGCTACATGGGACCACAATAAGTCTAATAAAGAACAAGAAGAAAATATATTTGAACATAAAATAAACTATGAAATTTAACATGATTTAGTTTATAAATTGCCATAAATTTATAGGTATCCTTCTAAAAGTTGAAAAAAATATTTTTACAAATATTTAAGCTTTCGATAAAAATGAAAATTTATTCTTATTATTATTTAGAGACAAAGTAGATTTTTTAAGCATTTTTCATTAAAAAATATCTCTCAGCATAGCATTATAAATGCAAAATTTTTATCTTTATCAAAAGTTTAATTATATATATGTAAAAATTTTTTTTGCCTGTTTGGGTGGATTGCCTGAACATTGATGACAAAACCCTCTGTAGTAGCGAAAAAGTAATAAGTGTTTGAAAAATTCGTCAGTCCTGTTAGATCCTGAGTAGTTAGAGCAGTCGCCCGGATTGCGAAAGGTCATGGGTTCGAGCCCCATCTCAGAGTGCCAGGGACAAAGTGTATTATTTAAGCATTTTTCATTAAGAATATTTTTGAGTATAACTCGTGAATCTGTATGAGATTTTATATATAGCGCATCTATAATAAGTTCTTGTATCAGTATAAGATTTTTACTGTATATTAAAATAGAATTTTCAATCTTCATTCATATTTATTAATGTTTAATTAACTACACAACAAAAAAATATATCTGGCTATTAAGCAATTTCAAGTTCCTCATTAGACAATGTTACTGTCCATTTAACATCACATGTCCACATGCAGCACAACGTAGGTAAGGGACTAGTCTACTAGGTCGATCCTCTCGAATCTTCTATGCGCACGAGGCTCACCATTATGGGTGCGTGCTGGCCGCGCCCACGTGTTAACGCAGCCATCTGCACATGCTGTCACCAAATATTCCGCTCGGAATAATAAAGCGGTTAAACGTTCATGAGCTATCTTCTTACACACCAGTGGCTCTAAAACTGGGCACTCGTCGAAACGTGGACACAAAGGAGTACCTATTAACTTCAATGGATCATAAGTATCATTAGATGCTGCCCCAGCACTCTTGCCTCGTAACGCGACTGTGTTTGATGCTGATGTCTTCTGTTCCGCAGGTTTTGACGTCAAACTAAAATTACGACGATGTTCTGAACGGCGGTCGCCAAACGAGAATCCTGCAAGTCTCTGTGTTAATGAGTTTACTCCTAAAGATCCAGAGTTTTCCTCCTTCGCTTTTCCGACACTTATGTTTAGAGTAGATATATTATTAGATTTTGTTTTTGTCGCTAGTTTAGCACCTGAAGGTTCACCGGTAGCATTAGTTTGCCCACTTAACTCAGCATGCTTGTGACCGATTTTGTTTGATTTTGTTCCTTTTGTTGGTAGTTTCGTCCCTGGTATGCCATTTGGTGAGAAAGTTTGACTGTTTGGTGAAAGATGTGCAGATGCTCGGGCCCTAACAGGTGGCTTTAACACATCTTCTGTCAAGTCCCATAAACACAATTGTGTATCCTGAGATACACTACCTAACCTGTAACACTGAACACTCTCACTTTTCTGTTTATCTTCCTCAATGACCTCCTCATTATCAGGGTCAGTGAAGCTTACCACATAAGGATCAAATGCCACAACTGACACCCATGATCTGTGTCCTTGTCCTCGAGCCACTACCCTCAATTCACTAAATGACCACACAGTAACCAAATCATCTTCACCCCCAACAACTACATACTTGCCATCTGGTGACCAGCAAACACAGAGGAATCCTCCAAAGTAAGATCTGGCTCGGCCAATAAGTTCCATTGTATCATAATGAAATACCCTAAGAAACCCATCTTGAGATACAACTGCTAAATTTGTTCCACAAGGAGAAAATGCAAATTCATTTATACAACTACCCTCTGCTCCTATAACCCACCTATACAGTGGATTCCTTGTAGATTTGGTTCGACATGTATGTATAGAATAACCATCACCCTGTTTAAAAAGCTGGTAATGTGGAGCTGTTGTACCACAAGTCAATTCTTCATTATAAACATAAAGCTGACCTGAAGCATGTGCAGAAATGAATAAATTACTAGAACCAGGTACCCACTTGATACATGTCACCCGAGTTTTATCTATCAGTCTCTGAAAAAAAAACATTTTGTTTAATATAACAATGATGGTAAAGTAATAATAATAAAAAACAAAATTGATCTGATAATCTGTGTACAGTAAAAACCACTTAGTGTGACTTCATCTATTTGCCCAATTTCTCAACATGACGTAATAACAATAGTTTCTTAATAGGGAATATCATGCATAGATGACAACACTGGCATGTGTAGTAAATAAACAAACTTTTGAACATTTGTGTTTTGGAAATGAATGATTTCCTTCCTTCTTATATTAAAATATGCAGTAACAATCTATTATTACACACTTTTAATAATTATAGTTAATTATAAATTAAAAAAAATAATAAATTTCTACTATGCTGATTTTTATTTTAGCCTTTGCTCACTATGAGAATGATGTTTACTTAAAATTGTTTACATCATGTGCTAATACTGCAATCTGAAGACAGAAAGTTGCAGTAATATATCCTATTGCATTCATTCTGTTCCTCATAATCGGATTCTACTATGTAGTCTAAAAAGTAAATATACTTTGTTATTTCATATAACTTTACTGAAGTCTTTTCAATTTGGAACACTTACCTCTTCATTATACAATTTACTTAATTCCTTTTTAATAGGATCTATGAGTTGTATTTGGCCAGTAGAAAATCCTATAACTAAAGAAACATTTTCAGCTGTCATAGTAACTGTGTTGAAGTCGTGGCACGTTGGATTTGTGCCCTTGTACATCTTTTTGTCCACTGGCTTTGAGAGATCAGCAGCCTATGAAATAAAAATTACATCAAATGTAGCAAAATCATTATATCTGAGTAGCATGCTTACTCTTGAATGCAATTGTGATTGATTAAAATTTCAATAGTGCTTCTTGATTGGCTAGCTAGTGCCAGAGTATGCTAGTGTACCCAATCAGGAGTATGAAACGGCACAATTGCAATGTCAATTGATTTTGAATGAATTCTAGAGTGCACATGCTGTTCAGAAGACTGAATTCATACCCCACCCAGGAGGCTCAGAGTATATACACCCTAGATCAACATCTTAAAATTCTTTTTAACATAGAACAGAAAATTTTAGACAGTCATCCAATACATTGAAGTCAACAACAGATGCATGAAGTTACAAGGTAGGCCTGCAGATGTCTCCACTAAACTAGCAAATGATTTGTCGTGCTGTACAGATAAGCTACAATACATTATAATTTTTTACTATAAAACAATTAGAAAATACCTTTTTAACTCCTCTGTATACATAAACATAAAGCTCCTTCCCATGATTAAAACATATTCTATCATCCGAGCCTTGGCCATCGGAGCCGGGTGCTCCACTACCAGGCCCCGGTGGAAGTGATACCAGTGAAACACGCACATGTGAAGAACCTGAACCACTGGTATAACCCACGCGATTGGGCCTGGAATACTCCGACAAAGTCATTAAGCGGTAAGTGCCTTCCCGTGTAACGAACTGAGTTTTCACGTCGTCCTTTCCACCTGAGTCAGGTTGCACGGCCATGATATCATATTATCCTGATAATATTCATAGAATCAGCCGCTCGAGAAACCCCGATCAGACTTGACAGCTCAACCAGAATAAAGAAGAGCAGTTTCTCTTGCAGATATTACACTCATTGCGAGAATAGCCTTTACTATAAACTGTACACTTTATGCTAATTATGAGTTTAGGTTGAACTATAGGACTTTATCCCTAAAAAGTTCTAAAAGGCAATTCTGTGTTTGTAACTAAAATGTGTCAGAAAGAAATTTACTCTAGGCATAGACTTTTTATTTTTTTAATTATGGAGTAGAGCATCTTACACATTAGCTCAAACTAAAAACAACTAAATATTTTGTTTGAAACGCTTTTTATCTTTGTCTTGGACAATGCTATCGGTAGCATATATTTTTCTGCAACTAGCAGCGGTAAGTTGCATTCACAGGCTTCACTGCAGTCTACCTGCAACATAATCTTAATGGACTGTATTCGCAATAGACAGTTATTAAACTAGTGATTTGCCTGAACCGCGATCACTCGTGATTCAGTGATACAATAAATATCTATTTTCCACAACACTTTAAAGTAAAGCTGAATTCAATCTTAATAAAATTATATTAAGGTTGATATTTAGGCGACGCGCTTTACAATACCCACGATCACCAAGAAGCGTCGATTACAGTTCGTAGCGATACGTAGTATTCTTTATGAGATCGACGCTAGGGTTATTAAAATTGCGCATGTGATGCAATTTTAATAACCGTATAAAATATAAGGCGTAATGTAGAGCGTTTAATAATATGGATCGCAATTAATGCAACCTGTCATGTGTGAATAAAATAACAACAGGACGTTATAGTGTTGTGGAAATAACTAGCTATCAAAAATATACAGTTTTGATATCAGTGATTAGTGATCTGATAGCGGTTATGTTACGTGATTTAAAATACGGATAATGAACTATCGCTAAACACAGTGGCCCTGCTAGAGATACCTGTTTCATAATAATATCGATATATCGAACCGATATGTATCGATTTCTTCACAAAGCCGATATATTTTGAGGATCTTAAATAAAATCAAAAATCTTGTTTCTAAAAACCTTATGTAAATAAAATACGTTTAATCTAAAATGTATATTTTTTTCAATCGATAATTAGTGGTGGCTACTATCTGGCTACTAAGCCCTTCATGTAATGTTGGATCCTGGCGCGAAGCACCCAAATGTCACCTTCCTCCTGTGCGCTCACACTCGACCCGAGAAAAGTGATGTTTGTTATAGACAAATAATCCATTTATTATTTTATTTTATGCGAGTTGCGTTTAGAAGGCATGCTTCTGTACACAATAGGAAAATGTCTTATTATTGCAATCTATTTAAAGAAACAGATTGCGACTAGATTAGGAATAACACTTTATATTCTTAATGAAAAATGTTTAAAAAATCCTCTTTGTTCCTGGCACTCTGAAATGGGATTCGAACCCATGACTTTTCGCAATACGGACGACTAGTCATTATAAATGTAAAATTTATCAAATATAAAAATAACAATTTATTAAAAACAAGTAACAAGTAAAATAACAATTTACTTTATATATAAAGTACAAATTTTAATAATAAAAATTTCAAAGCAAAATCAGCGTTACAAAATAATGTCACACGTGTTACTAATGTAAATATAACAAGTGAAGATGCCGTTGGATGTTAAAATTTGGACAACTGATATACATTTACTCATAGGATTTCATACGATATGTTTGTTATCCGATATCAATCCATATCATTATTTTTGGGCGTCGTTACTATATCGGTTATCCCTAGTTAGGCCTGGCAATATAATATCCATAGATAATACAAAAATATCGCAAACAAGATATGAACAAGATACGTAGAGGACTTTTTGGCGGGCTTTTGAAAAAGAAGGGCGCGATTTTTAAAGATAAATTTTAATTTGTTTAAATACTGTACATATTAAATAATTTCATTTCATTTTAGTGTAATTATGTAATTAGTGATATAGAAATAATAAAAATGAATAAAACCCCGGGGGGTGACGGCCCCGGGGTCGATTCCTATCGTCCTACAAAAAGACTGAGAGAAAGTGTAGAAAATGAGACTAATATTAATTCTAAAGATATGGGCAAAGATTTTTATAAACCGTATAGTAAATCAGGTTATACGAGAGTATTTCCTGATAATGCAATTGGAAAAGAATTCTGTGTTTTTGTAGAAAAGGAGAAAATCGGCAACAGGAATCCCCTAGTATTAGCAAGCCTATTTAAGAATGAAATTAAAGGTGTAACGAATATAAGACGCATTAACGCTAATAAAGTCGGTGTAACGTTCTCACAAGCAAACAATGCAAATAATTTTCTAAAAAATGAAGGTTTTCTCAATCACCACAATTTCAGAGCATACATTCCAGCACGAGCAGTAGAGAAAATCGGTGTTCTTCGGTTTGTACCCACTAATATCTCAAATGAGGAACTCTTTAAGAAACTATCTTCGTCATATGAAATTGTAACTGTTCGTAGATTTCAAAAAATTGTTGACGGAGTTGTAAAGCCCTTCGGATCAGTGAGTATCACATTTTTGACAAACATCTTACCAGACTATGTATACCTAGATATATTTAGGTTTAAAGTTTACGAATATATAGCTCCTTTATTACAATGTTATAAATGTCTTAAATTTAATCACGGAGCTAAAGTTTGTAATTCCACTCAAAAGTGTTCTATTTGCGCAGGAGAACATCATTATTCTCAATGTAACAGTGAAGCAGTTAAAAAATGTATTAACTGTGGAGGACAACATTTGGCAATTTCGAGAGATTGTCCTGTTAAGAAACATAAAATTATGGAAAAAACTAATAAAATAACTTACGCTAACGCTATTACTAAAAACGATAATAATCTCATGAATAATTATAATTCTACTTTTCCGGCATTACCCGCAAAAACTATGAAATCTACTACTTCTTATGAACCTATGTCATCTGAACAGTTACTAAATGAAGTTTTAAAAAGTGACATAATTCTTAAAGGATTAGTAGGTACACTAGTAGCATTGGGGAATGATGCAAGAAAGTTGACCTCTTCTGTTATTAAAGAAGTATTAATAGACAAACTTAAAAATGGATAAAAAATTTATTAATATATGTCAATTTAATGTACAAAGTATAAACTCTAAAAAACCTTTGCTAGTTAATTTTATTAATGAAAAGGACATAGACATTTGTCTTCTGAATGAGACATGGTTGAGAGATAGAAGTAATTTTAGTATTCAAAACTATAACTTTGTAGCTCAAAATGGACCTGATGGTCATGGTGGAGTTGGTATATTAATACGCAATAATTTAAAATATAATATTATACCAACAAAATATTATGAACATACACAAACTACAGCTATCAGTGTAGTCACATGTAGGGGTCGTTTGACCATTCTAACTGTGTATACCCCTCCACCAGGTAAAAACAATAACTTCAGGATAAATATATTACAACAAATTTTGAAAAATCTTCCTAAGCCCATAATGTTAGCAGGTGATCTGAATGCTCATCACATAGCATTTGGTTGTAATACAACTTCCACTAGAGGAAATCAAATCTATAATCTTCTTGATGAGTTCGATTTGTGTATTTTGAATAATGGTTCTCCTACTACAGTTGGTACTATTCATCACCGACAATCAGCTATTGACATCACATGTGTAAGTCCATCTTTAGCACCTCTATGTGACTGGTCAGTACATGATGATCCCATGGGTAGTTATCATTTTCCAACTATCACCAAATTGCAACTTTCAATAGATAAATACATTGTTGGCACACCATGTGAGAAGTTCTTATTTCATAAGGTAGACTGGTCTCTTTTCAAATCTGAAACAGAAAAAGAATTTTCAAATTTTTGTTATGATAATAGTAACCCTATAGAATCATACAACATATTTTATAATAAATTGATAGATCTTATGAAAAAATGTATCCCTATATTTAAAAAAGAGTCTCACTATATTAAGAGAAATCCAGTTCCATGGTGGGATAATGAGTGTTTAAATGCAGTTCGACTCAGCAAAGAAGCACTAAATAAATACAGATCTGATGGAACCATTGAGAGCTACATTATGTACAAAAAAGTTGATGCACAGAAAAAGCTTTTACTTCGTAAGAAAAAGAGAACTAGTTGGCATAAGTTGTGTGAATCATTTAACAGATATACACCTACTAGCATTATTTGGAATTATATGAAAAGATTTAAAAACATAGGTATTCAAAATAAATTTAGATTAGATGATTGGATTCCTGAATTTATAGAAAAATATGCTCCATCAGTTCCACCAGCTAATTCACAAAATAATTCAAATTTAACTAGTATCTTTAATAAAAATGATAATAATACAAATAGCTTCTTATCTGAACCATTCTCATTGCAAGAGTTGCAAAGTGCTCTAGCAAGTAGAAAAAATACTAGCCCAGGATTAGATAATGTAACTTATGAAGTATTGAAAAATATGCATCCAAATGCCCTAGAGATTTTATTGCAAATATATAACTTATTATGGAATAAACTAGAAATCCCAGACTCTTGGAAAACACAATGTATCATACCCATCTTGAAATCAGATAAACCAATAAATGATCATAATTCTTATAGACCCATAGCATTATCATCTTGCATAGGAAAAATATTTGAATATATGTTAAAAGTAAGATTGGAATGGTATCTTGAGTGTAACAATAAATTACCTGTACAACAGTCTGGTTTCCGAAAGGGTCATAGTGCAACAGAAAATTTTATTTCCCTTATAACCGATATCAAAAACTCTTTTTTCAGTCACTCAAATACAGCTTGTGTTTTCTTAGATATTCAGGGAGCTTTTGACAATGTAGATCCTGAAATACTTGTCCATATTTTATCAGAATCTGGAATTCCTGGAAAAATATGTAAATGGATATTTAACTTTTTATTTGAGAGAACAATGTATGTTAGATATAATAACATTCTTCATGGTCCAAATTCTGTATATAAAGGCACCATGCAAGGTGCAACAATATCACCATTGTTGTATAATATATACACCAGCCAGATTACCACTTATTTAAAAAATTCAAATATCAAATTTCTTCAATTTGCAGATGATATTGTTTTATATACTATAGATCAAAATGTAAATATTGCTGTAAATAATTTAAACAAAGGCCTTATACAGATTCATAATTTTTATGAAAATAAATTGAAATTAAAAATTAACCCTAGTAAAAGTGGTGCCATGTTGTTTAGTAAAAAATCAAATATTTGTGATAACAATGTTAAATATAATAGTGTTCCCATTCCATGGCTGTCTGAAAAGAAATTTCTGGGGGTGTATGTAGATCCTAAATTAACATTTGAAAGCCATATTAAATATATTTCAAAAAATGCTAATAAAGGGTTGACCATTATTAGATCATTGGCAGGTGTTCACTGGGGTGCTGATCCCCATACACTTAGCATGTTATACAAAAGCATAGTACGTAGTCACTTTGATTACAGCTGTCTTGCCTATATGAATGCCAAATGTACACAGTTACAGAAACTCGATGTTATTCAAAATAAGGCACTAAGAATTATTACTGGTGCAATGTGTTCGACTCCTATAAATGCAATGGAATGTGAATCTTGTATTCCACCACTGAAATTGCATAGATTAAAAATTGCTGAAAAATTCTGTCTCAAATTAATAGCCACAGAAAATAAACCACTTATTAATAGAATTCTACCCCAGGAACAACTACCAGTTGGCCCATATATTAATATTAACCAATTGATAACAGGGCATTTTCCAGAGTTATTGAGGATTATCATTCACATTAAAGAAAAAGCTGTAAATATATTTACCTGTAACCCTTTAGTATTATACCAATTTAGTCTCAAACAACTTATAAATATTAAAGTAGATATAATTACTCATACAATAAATCATCAAAATGACTTATTAGATTTATTTGAGAAACAAATACCTCAATATAAAATTTATACTGATGGATCTAAAAATACAAATAATGTAACTGCAGCTTTATATGACCCTCAACTAAAACAAACTAAATGTTTTAAATTAGATAGTAGCTGCAGTATCTATACTGCTGAATGTTATGCAATATATAAAGCAATTTTATATATAGATAATATTGTAGAAAATAAGAATTTTATTATTATAACAGACTCAATGAGTGTCCTAAATAGTTTAGAAAGTAAGGTATTTAAAAATAACATTAATTATTTAATTTTGTACATAAAGAACCAACTATATATATTACAAAATAAGGGAATAAGTATCAAGTTTCTGTGGGTACCATCACACCATGGCATCACTGGGAACGAAATCGTAGATGAAGTCACCAGAAATAAGCCTGATGAAGACCACAGTCAGATATGCAAAGTACCGTACACCGACTTTAACACCTACCTAACAGAATCCCACAAACTGTTGTGGACCAACTATTGGCATGCAATTGCATTAGAAAAGGGGAAATGGTACCACGACATACAGAAGACATTGCCCGCTCGTCCGTGGTACCATCCATCAAAACTTAAAGGATCTATAAACCGCAATCTAATTACCACCATTTGCCGTATGAGATTTGGCCACTGCAAAACTCCTGCCCATCTGCACAGACTGAAAATCATCAGCAACTCTAAGTGCATTTATTGTAACGAAGAAGGTGCCGATTTAAATCATTTATTATTGAAATGCCAACAGCAAGATTTTAAAATTCATAGACTGATTTTAGCGAGTGAGGTAACAAATCTAAATAGTGACAGTGACAGTGATGTTCTTGACAATAACAGTGAAGTTTTACATACGCTCCTCAGTGATACAAGATGCTATAAAGCTTTATATGATTATATACAAAATACTAATTTAACTATTTAGTGCATGGATTTATCTTTCCTTGTTTTATAATGAACTGATTGTAAGATAATAAGTTTGGCAAAAAGGGCAAGAACCCAGTGCCGTTAAAACAATAAATAAAAAAAAAAAAAAAAAAAAATACAAGATACGTAGTATCTTCTTCTTGGTCTGTGCAAATAAGCAAATTCTAAGCCATGATTATTGTTGTTATCCCCTTAGAATAGGAAGGTTTTCGAGGTTATCCTATCCATAATATGGAAATATCAAAGAGGATTTAAACAATACCAAACTGACATTAAGCCAAACGTTTGTGGTACCTAAGGCCGATATTATTTAGGCACTTTGCCTGTTTAAAAGGCCCCAATTAAGATCAGTTCTTTTTATTTTATTAAGTATATTTAGAACCTGCAACTTCGATAGCATCTCGTAAACGGTTTTTTTAAACCGGTTTAGTGGAGCCTATTAATGCAAGCAATCAAATCTTATCTCTTCAAAATATTTGTATCTTTATATCCAAAATGAGTGAGGAAAAATTTATAAATCAATAAATTTCTCCTCACTCATTCCCTGAATGCAATGCCTGAGAGTAAAGTATACATCCTGAATGTTACTGGCACTAGGTAGATGGCGATGCTCTATGGTGAACTCACACTTGGAAATTTTACAATACATAAATGCTTTACTTGCCTCCTATACCCAAGTATGTACCATAGTATAGAGTAACACACACATTATGCCCATTTAATTAAAAAAAAAGCATTTTAATTTGTATTGTAATTATAGTTATTTTACAAAAATATCTAGTGATTGGCTACAAATTGGTGTTAATACATAGATAAATTAAGTAGCCATTTAGTATTTCAATAAAAATAATTGCTGCTGATAGTTGCTGCAAATATGTTAAATAGCAATTTAGTTATCAGAAGTATCCTTTTTGGTTTCATCGCACAAAACAGATTGAATGGTATCTTCATCTTTTTTTTCTAAATTATCACTTTTAGAATTGTCTGGGTTAATAGATCTTTTTTCTTCATTTTGGTCCAAATATTTATCCCATTTTTTAATGCGCTGACTGATATCTGCATCAGTCTCAGCAATTCTATATTTTGTCCTTCCATCCCATATCTCAGCATTGATCTGTCGTTTGCCAAACCATCTACCATTTATAAGTTGCACAACTGCATCTGCCTGTTCTGGTTCTTTCATTGTTATTTGTGCAACTCCCTCAGGATGCCTGTCATAAATAACAACTTTTCTTACTTCTCCACATTTAGTGCACTCCTCTCTCAAGTCCTGTTGGTAATCCAATATCAACTGTACTTCATTATCAAAATCTGTAGGATGAAATAGATTTTTAACAATAACCACACGTTCATGTTTGGAGCGTTCACCAATGAATTTTTCAGGCCTCCAATCAAATAACTTTTGTTGCATCTTTTTTATCTTTTCTAGTTCTTTTTTTTTCTTCTTTTTTGGTTTTAACGCTGGATTATATTCTCCTTTCAATTGGAAATGTGCTCTTTCAACCTTAATTTTATTTCCTTTGTAATCACTTCCATCAAGTAACTTTAATGCCAAATCAACAGATTCAATTTTTATGTAAGTACATAAAGCATCACCTTTAAAGCAATTATGTTCTTTGTCCATATACAGCTTGATTTTCATTTGTTGTGAATGAGGATCTCTCTCAACGAGACCACATTTTTGCATTAAATTAACAAACTCCTCTTCGGTTAAGTCTGATGGCAAATTAGAAACATACACTTTAGTATTAGTTTCTTCTGAAGGCTCAAACCATTGAGGCTCATTTTTCCGTTTTACTCCAGAAGTATCTGTTTTTTTCTGCATTGCTTTATTTTCATTTAAGGTTTTCTCCTTTTCCTTCTCCAATGTTTGCAATGTATTATCCACAAAACCATATGACATTTGATAGACAGCTAAGAAGTCTTCATCAATTTTGGGTAACCATGCTTTCTTATCAGCATCCCAGAAACATTTAGAACCATCAGGATCAGTATACACATGAGTGTCGTTTTCAAAACTATACACTCTACCAGGAACTCCATCTCCATTATTTGTAGGAACCCAAGAATTATTAGTTGTACTCCAAGTGTACTTTTGTTGAGTTGTAGGATCTGTGTATATGGCTTTCTCTCCTTCATAAGTAATATAGGGACTATAATCACCCCATGATGCATCTGATTTCTCATCAACTGGTTTTGATTCATTATCTCTATGATCTACTGAACTTTTAGATTTTTGGTTGGTAGATACATTTGGGCATACCTTATTATCATTTTGTCGATTTATAGATTTCATGTGAATTTCTTCACATTGTACATTTGCAATTTCACGTTCAATCGGGGCTTCATTTGACTGGTTATTTTCTTTAGATTGTGGAACCTCTACAGCCAGTTTTTGCACAGTCTCTGAAGTCAGTTTAATAACAAAACCAGACTTTTGAGGTTTCTCTTGTTTGGACATTTTACGATAATTTGTGAACTAAAAACCTTATTCTTTATTAATGCAATAATAGTAGGTACTAGTTTCGTCCATTGGACAGGAGAAGGAATCAAGAAAATAAGCACAGACTAGTAAGGAGATACTACGTATGAAATAAGTCAGAAGTCAGACTTGATTACAGTGTTGCCAACAAGAGCAACCTAAAATTTGTTAAAAGGTACTCTCTTGTAAGAAATATCGGACGATAAAAAAGCAGCTGTGTGCAAGGAATGTAAGAAATCGGGACCATAGAGAACGGTGATCGGGACGCATTAACGCAATACCGCTTGCGATATTATCGACCCTGTAATTACGCGCCTATATGGGGGAGCCTTAAATTTTGCCAAAATTATGCTAAGGCTTTCTAATTTAAGCTAAAAATTATGCTAAAATATTAGATGTCAAATAGAACGTCATTTCATTTAAAATATTATTTAATCAACATTATTAACATATTTATGTTATGTTTTAATCGTTTATATTTTCGAATGAAATGTTAATGTCTTGATCCGCAGATTGCACAACAGCTGCGGTAGACATGGCAGCCTCATTGCTAAGACTATACGTTTCTTTGGTGCCTATGGAGTGCAATACGTTATTCGGAACTGTGTTTGAATAGCAGCATTTTCCTGCCCTCTGTAGGCTGAATCGGATATACGAAATGGCATTTAAAGTTTTTACTAACAAACGATTGCGAAGCTTATTTTTGATAATATTTATTTGATTAAAGACACGTTCAATTTCCGCGTTGGAATGTGACTGTGATAATAATGATATTGCTAACTGTGATAAATCTGCAAAGGGGTTATTACTAGCTACGTCTTTATAATCCATTACTTCATTCCAGAATTCTAATGTATTTAATGTATACTATGTTTCTCCATTGAGACATGAGTCTATCTATTATAGATGCATCTTTTTGAAATTCTTCGGCAGTATCAACTATGGAAGGTTTGATTTTTTTCAGAGTTTCTTCTACCGAAAAAAAAATATATTTTCTCAAGTATGTTAAAATTAATTGGTAATCTAGAACGCAACACTATTATAAGTTTCACTAATACAACGCTGCCGTAAATTATTTTCAACTTCTGTTGGATTCAATCAGAAAGTGTAGAAATACCGACTCTTGCCGTTGGATTTAAGATACGCTGACTTGTAGATTTCACTCAGGCACATAAATCCTTGTAAAGTTTTATTGGGTCTACATATTGTTTCAAATAGCTTGTTCACAATTTGAACTTCCTCCAAGATCGGCTTCAAATACGTTGTACGTGGCCGAGTTTCTTCGGAGGCATGAGACAAAGCTAACTGTAAAGAATGGCACACGTAACTAAAAACAAATTATCATTACCAGTTGCATTTTTTAATAATGTACTCCGCTGTTGGTACCTGTCATTACCGTAGCGTTATCTGTGCCAATACCGTTAATTTTTTTTATTTCAATGTTCAATATAATAATATTTCTTTAATACCGTTGACTATGTTGTTTGCAGTGCCATCTTCAAGCTCAACCAACCCCAAGAAGGTGGATATTATGGTTATTGAAGATCGGCTATAATATCTGATCGATATTCCCAACAATTTGCTTACTGATATGTCCGTAGACTCGTCCAGCAAGAGACTGTTTTGTTGGTCTCTTGAATCTGACACGATTTCTTTAATAAAATTAGGGACCAAAACATTTTTTATTATATTTGTGCATTTTGTACGATGAACTCGTAAATCTCTACTCTTGCTATCACTGAATCGCAATTTACATAATTCTGATAAATGATCGACAGCTATAATCGAACAATGTGCGGACACAAACATAGCTAGTGAAGATTCTGCTGCTTGTGTATTTAGATTTATTTTTATTTTGGGAAAATTAATTATTATTTGACTTTTAACTGGTTCTATAGTTTTTTATGCTTCGTTGATAAAATATGTAATTTCAAACTATGGATTTTGGCAATTATCTCGCACTTACAATACTTGCAATAGGCCTTCATCGTGTCATTTTCGATAGGCTGTAACCAGCCTTTGAAATCCGGCATTTGCTCCCACTGTGACCGGTAACGTTGACTGTATTTATGCAGCATATTAACGTCCAGTCAATGATAATACACATAAAACTGACAACTATACTGTCCTATTTCACTTTTCTTGAATGATGTTTGTCTTATATTTGTAGGGGAATCCCCGAATTACGGCATTAGAGCAGTTGACGTAAAGGCGGGCTCACACGTTTGACGCAATGTTGCCACCATAGGCTTCGTAAAATGTCGACTATATTTACGCACGCAAGGTAGCAAAACGGTAGTTTTATCATTGTTTAACTTATTTCAAATTACTTTTTTTTTCGCTAAAAATATGCTATATGCTAAACAACAAATAATAATACTAAACAATATAAATTTATGCTAAATCTTGTATAAATATCCCAAATTGGCAACACTGCTTGATTGGCGAGCGAGCGAGTAATATAAATGTTGCATTTGTCTCAATGTGATAATATAGCCTTTCGCTCGCCTATGTTTGAAATATATCTTTATATCTTCGTAGCACGATTCATTTCAGACTAACTGCGACTAAATGAAATAATCTTTGCGATACTTCTAGTTTGCTTTGAAGTTCTTTCACGTAGGGATACAGTATTTTATACACATAAATATAAAGTTTATTTTATTACTGCACCTAGCTCGAAACAACTTCAGAGCTATCTACAGGTTTGGCACAGGCCATATGTTGGGTACATGCGTATGAAAAAATTCTCACACTAATCCGATAAAGAATATAATTTTATTTGGTTGAAAAGTTCGTGAAATTTTAAGATATTATTCGACGAATATTTTTGTCAAATAATATAGAAATATATTTTAAAATCAAGAAATAAAATGTGTAATTTTGCTAGACATGTACCTTGTTTATGTTTCTAGTCAAATGAAATCAAATCAGCGCGTGATATCTGATATCAATAAGAATTTAAAAAATATGCGGGAAACAGTCAGAATGTAAAAATATAACGATATTTTGAAAGTTTTATGTACAGATTCAATTCAAATTCGTTATTATTTGTGTGTTAGAGTATAAAACACAGTATGCGATAATTCATTTATTGAAAATCCCTTAAGTTTTCTCCTTGGCTGATGTCACGTCTTTTGACTAAATTGAAAGAAAGAAAGAAAGAAAATATATTTATTGACCACATATTAAATTGCTGTTTACACGTCATTTAGAAACAATTCAAAAATTTGTCATTTGGACACATAAAAAAGTTAATAGAAGTGAAATGTTTTTTGTGCGAATTAGATTTTTTGTTAATCAATTTAAGATATCTAAAAAAGAATTGTTTGTAAATTTTGTAAATAGCCATTTATTTTTATTACGCCAACATAATGATTTCAAACTAAAAGAATTAAGAAATCCACTTGGTCCCTAGCACCCTGAGATGGGAATCGAACCCACGCCCTTTCGCAATCCGGGCGACTGCTCTAACCGCCGAGTGCTGACTGCTAAAACGAAAATGAATGGCCCAAAGCGCCTGGAGACGTGAAACGGGATTTGACTGAAGTAGTGACGCTTGTTAGTAATAATAGTGGCAGCTGTCTTACGCTTACTAATCCTTCTGTAGTGCAAAGCTTAATTGAAAAATATTCTTCTTTTACTGAGTTTTAATAAAAACTGATTGATTAATTTAAAAAGGAAATGCATAAGTATCTTTCAGAAATCCGGATTAGGTTTTCATACATATAAAAACCTTAAACCTTATAGAGGGTTTGAGAGTAGACCCTCACGCCGAAACATATTTTATTAAAAAGTATATGCATAACATTTTATATCAAGTTAATATTTTAAAAGTCGAAAATAAATCACTCTAGCCGATATAACCTGATTTGAGAATATACACTGATAAAATTAAATTACATGCCTATGGCTTGAGTCAACGTCAAAGGTGAGTCTCTTTCTTATGATGAGTCAGCAAAAAATCTCTGCAATTAAAAATGTGGCCGTTTGTACATGCGCCATCTCACGTGACGTGCACGGCCTGCACACCTAGGGTTATAGAGTCGTACTTCATCACTTAAAAATAAGTTAAAAATCTACTCACTACTTATTTACTAAACTACGTGTAAACAGCCAATGGTCTGTGAATAAGTGTGTCTATAGATGACATTCGTTGTATCTCTTTACTGATCTGTGTTAACTGCCATACTCAGATGTCATGTCAGTGTCAATTTTTTACTGTTTGTCAAGTTTGTGTTTGTGTAAATGCAAATAGGCCATGAATTAAAAAAGAAGAAGAAGAAGTCTGTGTTTACGTCTTGATTCGTAAAAAAGGATCAATTCATAGATCAATGTGAATCTTATTCAGAGAAAAAGTATAAATTAGAGAAATCTTATTGTAGCCATAAGTGGTTTGTGCTTATTGATTTATTCATCTATCATCGTAAAATTTATCCCAATAATAATAGACTTTTTCGGTAATTATTCATTATTTGCAGAAATGAGTAACAAATCTAGTGAATTAAAATTATATTGGAATAAAATAAATTATGCTTTTCCTATTCTTAATGATACAATATTTAGTGATTGCACTGGCACTGAATATGATGAAGTACAACAAATTATCACAGGTATGGGAATCCAGGTTAAAGTTCGTGATCTAATACTTATTCACATTGAAAAATATCTTCGACAACATGTCGCACCTTCGTTCTGGTCGAAATTTATAAAAGTTGATGAAGAAGTTAAAGGCTTTCAATTATTTAAGTCTGCTGTTAATGACTTATATGAGTCAGTTTCGAACTTTTCCGAAATGTTACGAAGATTGTCAATTCTAAATACCAGTTGTTGTGATAACAGACCTATATTTGGAGAAAAAGATGTTATTTTGGGATTTAAGCAACTAATTCGTGCTACTCTTTTATCACAGCTTCCTCTGGATTACCATGTTATCATAAACCACTTTTATAAAATGTCATTTAATGTGTTTGATAATGAGTATGAAAGCTCTGACATGAGCGAAGATGTTATGTGTTCTGGATGTTGGAATGAATACTCTGATTGTAATTGTGCTTATATTGTAAAAGTTTTCCATGATACTAATAGAAAATTGATGGATCTACAGTTGTTAGAAAGACTGACTGGTCAAGTTTTAACCAATTTTATACAAATGAGAATAGAATCCCATATACAGAAACTGTGTGATGGTACTTTTGATGTTTCACATATAGGTTTTTTGGAAAATTGGTTAGAAACAACTGTAATGTCTTGGCTGACAAGAATATACTGTGCAGGTTCATCGAAACCTCCACCTGATGATAAAAACACTCAAAATGCAATAATGCAGTTTAAAAAGAAATTGAGTTACTATTTATATTACAGCTATACAAAACTTCGTATAGAGCAACTCTTTAATATAATTATAGAATATCCAGACTCGCAACCTGCTGTTGATGATATTAAACTATGTCTTGACAAAACAGACCTAAGATCTACTCTTTGCAAAAGGTTGCAATCAGCATTAGAGACAAGACTGTTACATCCAGGTGTAAATACTACTGATATTTTAACTGCATATGTTTCCACTATTAGAGCTTTAAGACATTTAGATTCATCAGGTGTAATTTTAGAAACTGTAACTAAGCCAGTTCGGAGTTACTTGAGAAATAGAGAAGATACAGTGAGGAGTGTGGTCAGCAGTCTTACAGAGGAAGGTGCAGGCAGTGAACTTGCTGAGGAACTTGCTAAATTTGCTGCAGAAGTGGATGGAGAAAATGATAAAGATGATATTTGGGATGAATGGAATCCTGATCCAGTTGATGCTGATCCAAAAGTAAACTCTAATGATAGGAGAGCAAATGACATTATTTCAATGCTAGTAAATGTATACGGTAGTAAAGAGTTATTTGTTAATGAGTATAGAACTTTATTGGCTGATCGACTATTAGCACACAATGTGATAAATACAGAAAAGGAGATCAGGTATCTGGAGTTATTGAAACTGAAATTTGGAGAATCTCAATTACATTTTTGTGAGGTAATGTTGAAAGATATATCTGATTCCAAGAGGATAAATGCCCTGATTCAACAAGATAAAATGTTTGAAATAGCAAGTAAAAATTTTACTTCTAATGCAATGATACTTTCTGCTCAGTTTTGGCCTCCATTTAAAGATGAAAACTTAGAACTGCCAGAAGAAATAAAACAACATTTTGAAGCATATACTAAGTCATATGAAGCATTAAAAGGGAATAGAACATTGAGTTGGAAACCTCATTTAGGCTATGTTAGTATAAAGATAGAGATTGGTTCAAAGAATCTAGATTTAGTTGTATCACCATTTAATGCAACATTAATAATGCATTTCCAAAATAAACCAGAGTGGACACTTGATGAACTCCACCAAGTCATGAAAGTGCCTGTAACTGTACTTCGAAGAAAAATTACTTATTGGCAGTCAATGGGTTTGATATCTGAAAAATGCACTGATACATATGTTTTAGTTGATGATTCTGATGCAAATAAATCAAATGTTGCTACTAATCAGGTACAAGAAATGATTTGTGAAGATGATGAAACTGAAAGTGTTATGGCATCTGCCCATGATCAAAGGGAAGGAGAATTGCAAGTATTTTGGTCTTATATTGTAGGAATGCTTACAAACTTAGACTCTTTACCGCTAGATCGAATCCATCAAATGTTGAAAATGTTTGCATCACAAGCTCCTGGTACTGAATGTAGTCTGCAGGAATTAAGACAGTTTTTAGACACAAAAGTACGAACACATCAACTGATTCTGCAAGGTGGCATGTATAAGTTGCCAAAATCATAATAATTGTAAGAAAATAAAATACTGCCACATGTATTGTGATTTTAATATTCTTTGGAACATTTGAATCCAATCAGGATGATTTTAAAATAAGTAGATATAGAATCCAAAGTTATCATTACACTAATTTCACTCAAACAAAGATTTATTAAAGGCTGATCTGTTTCGTAAAGTGTTGTTGATATTTATTTGGTTTCCAGGGGGTTTCTGGTCCAGTAAAGAATAGGAATTACCGATTTAGAGCAATACAATATAGGTATAAAAACTTTGTGAATTAAAGTATTATGATGCCTCCAAATACCCAACTAAAACTGTCCCTATTAAGTATATTGACCATAAGAAAGGAAGTTTTACAATTGGTAAACAAGATTAAAAATTCTAGGAAAGTTTAACAAAACTTTATTTTTAACTAATTTAATATAAAAATTTGGTTACATTACATTGTCTGTGGGTTAATATCCTGATAATATATTATTACCGATAGACGCGACAATTTGAAGCTATTATTTTGATCAAATAACTAAATTAATAAATTAACTATTACTGTTACACCACCACATAAAATTATGTATAACAATAATTTAATACTTAGTGATTTCAATACATAATCTTGTGTCAGTCTTAACATCTATAAAATACTGTTTAAAATTAAAAAGTAGCAACAATTATATTATTAAATAATTATAACTAACACATAATGATACTGAGAAACAATACAAAATTATATATTCAGCTTGCATGGAATGCCTTTAAATTCAAATTGTCAGTAAATGCACTGTATAGACTCATTTGAAGATTAGTTATCAATCTTGAAACAATCCAAAGAATTTATGGGAAATACTACATATATGGAATGTAAAATCATTCATTTACTTTTTGGTTTTCATTCAAGGTTTACCATTAATAAATCTTAAATTTATAATAAATGTTTTAATTTTAAATAATCATATAATCTGCTTTTGAATTTGCATATTCGTCAACAAAATGTTTATCTATTCATTGTTTGGATCAATAACTTGTTATCAAAGCCTACTAGTTTCATAAAAAAAAAGTTTTTATCACACAAATTTTAATGTCGTTTATAATCAGAAGAGCAATCCGATAGTATAAAAATAAATCATTGGGCAAATAAATAAAATTACAAGAATTATTAAAATCTATAAAACAGTTAAAGCTCTATAATCTAGATACATATTTACAAATAATTAGTATTATGTTAAAATCCCATAAAGATTGGATCAAGTAAACCTTATCACTCAAAGATATTTAATATACCCCTAATATGTTTAATTAAAATTCAAGCCACGGACGTTAATAAGCTTATTTATTAAAAAAAAATTAAGTACATAAAAATTTCGTTTAGATCATTATGCTTATCTCTCCATATGTAAAAATGGTGATTTACAAACCAATTAAGTTGGAATCACCATTTAAAATAACTTGGTAAATAGGTACAAACATAGACAAAAATAAATAATATTATGTTGTATCCCTTAAATAAACTTCTACTTTTCTTCTTTGCTGTTGTATCACCTTTACCCTCTCGATGTATATATAGTTAATAGCACATTAGATTGTCTTGTATTTTCGAAATTCTTAAATTGGTTTAAAAATGTTAGTTGACAGTTAATTTCAAAATCGATTGTAAAAAACTTTATATTAAGTGGCAACCCACCTGCAGCCTCTTCTTTTGCTTAACAAAAAGTACTTCGTTTATCTTAATCTGAACAATTTAAATTCACGTGAGTAATATTAAAAACTCATCCTTAAGTAAAAAAATGGTTTCTACGTTCTTTCTCCGGTTACACTATCAGTCAGTTGCACAAATGTCCATTAAGGTTCAATGGTGGCTTTTACCTCTAATGAATTTCAAATTTGTATCGGAAATGTCGCTCTAAACTAATGACCATTTTAATGAACATTTGTGCAACTGACTATATATTTCATAGTATTTATCCTTAAACCCAAAAGGAGAATATAATATATTATATTCTTTTATCTTGTATAAAGTAAAGATTATAACAATCTTGGTTGTAACAACAAAGTAACATCCGAAAAAATATGTAAAAACAAATCACATTAATGCTAAACTTAAGTACAATTAAATTCAGATCTGAAACAATCCAGTATTTTTGACGTCTGGAATGTTGTCTACATAATATAAAATATTGTGCGTAATTTTTGGGAGGTGATATTGCCGATGTTAATTTCTGAATAATTTATTGGCCGATATTATATAATTACGTATTGTATAAACGTGCTTTTGATACTATGCCAACATTCTGTTCAAGGTATATTACAATGTAAATTGTTCTTTTGCATGCTTAGAATATATTTTATGGATTCACGTTAATGGGTGCCATAAAAAATATTTTTTTACATTTTAATACGGTACTCGCGGGTCTTAGTTGGTGAAACCTCGCTGATGTCATTCGTTTAACCTGTCAGCTCACCTGTTTCTGCGTGGCGCTGGATGGGGCGCAGTTTGTGTGGGTATCGGTGCGGATTGGGGCCCGGGATGGGGCACTAGGGGCCGTTTGAAGGGGCCCAATCGTTTCACAGGCCGTGGTGATACGGTATGAGATTCACCCGCCCCTCCGCTACTCCAAGCGTTCGCACCGTGGTCTAGAAGGGCCGCCGCTAATCGTCCGCTGCCTTGTTCTATAAATATTTTGTGTCATTATATTTCGTAAAGACTAAACTTTAAATACTGTCAAAAATGTCGCATATTGTGATACATAAAAAGAAAAGGGCAACATAATAGTCACTAACTTATTAGTAGATCCCGTTATTGGAGGTACAATTTGGTAGTTCGACGTTATTAGAGATAGATAAAAATTAAATTACTTAATTAATAATAATTTCGTACTTACATAAGACTAATTTATTATCAACATTGACATCATAATTATTCTTATTTATCTCTAAAAACGTTAATGTTATCTCTAAAATCAATTGCAATTGGGGTAAACATATTACCGACTAGCTAATCTCCCGCGACTTTACCACGCGTGAATAGGGATGATGCCTTGGTAAAAAAAAAAAATCTAGTCCGTCAGTCACGTAATAGAAGAATATTAGATAGGTATTTTTTATTTCAATTTAACAAGAAATAGCTTAGATAACAGGAATTAAAATTGAGGAGTGGTGGACGTCATGTGACATTTTAATGTTACAATTTAATGATTACACAAGAAAAACGTGTTTAATATATATAAATATTTTTTCCAACGGACAAACAAAAAACATTTAGACATCAACCCTATGTAACGTTGTATTTTAAGAATAAATAATAAGAATAAAAATTAAAATAAACATCAAAATATAAGAAATTAAAAGCGTTATTTATAATACCGTGAATAATGAGACAGACACTTATCTAAACAAAATTTCAATTATTAAGAAAAATGAAGTAAATAAATTGAGTTGGTTATAAACATTAAATGCAAGCGACGAAGGATACGTCTCTAATGTTGATGCACATCACTTGAATGTTGAGTTTTTTGCTATATCATTGTTTCGGTGGAGGAGCGCCGGCGACCGCTCGCCGACATACTAATTTTAGACGTTGGACGTGACGGCTGCGTCAATCGCTCCAAATTACTAAACAAATTTTTACGATATTTCCCACTAGGGTGAGTTTTAAGTATTTATCATTCAGTGTTTCATTGTAAGGTGTTTCAGTTTCATTTTAAAAGTCATCTAACACTAGTACTGATCCATATTTCCTGTTTATTGGAACGCTGTGTCTTTGGACTCACAAGGTCAACGGTTTTTTCAAATCTGCGTTTCATCTACTAATATTACCCGTCTCTCTGAACTTCCAGGAACTACGTACCTTATATAAACCATCCGAGGATGTCACCAGTTTTGTGAAATTAGCTGCAGCTATATATAAAAATTATTAAAAGGGAAAACGAAACTACTGGACCAGTACACCTGACTATTACGTATAAGCGCTAATGAGTTATTTTTTATGAACGAGAATTGGAGGACCGTGATCTCAAGAATACCGGAGAAGACGAGGAGTTCAGACCAGTGTTCTTTCCTACCTTATCTCAATCGAAGTGTAAGGCGGCCATAAAAAATAATTGGAAATAAATGTATAATTTTTCTAAAAAATTGCATTATTCGAACCTACACCCTATCTGTGGCTATCTGGTCAGCTTGCACGACCAAGGGTCGCAGTGGCGCCTACAACGTGGTTTTTTTTTTGTGGCCTAATTGCGCTTCGGTTTTTCCTAAAAGTCTAGCTGTTGGTGCTTATGCAAAAATCCTATGCGAACTGTGAACGTGAAGGTGATCACCATCTACCTGCGAACTGGTACGTACAAGTATAGGATTTTTATTTGTGTAGTGGTTTTAGTGTTTTATTTTTCTGCTTCGGGGTTCGGCGGCAATTGTGTGAATACCTAATACATTTATTAGCACTTAAAAGGTCAGTGTAAAAAATAAATAAATAAAGAAGTAATAATAGTAATTAGAAAATAAAAACGAAATTGAAAGTGTTAACAAACGGTTTTGAAATTATTTTTAAATTTACCTACCTTGTTTAATTTTTTCAATTGCCGTTGGTAAATTGTTATCTATCTTTGGATTCTAAACATTATTGAATATTGTTATATCTCATTATATTTTGTTTAACGGCTATAAAATGTTGATTGAATTTAATGATTGTTATACGTAACAGTTCGCACACATTTTTTTCTGCTTTCTTTTTTTTGCAATACCTACCTTTGTGAATTTAAAGATTAAATTTAATTAGTCTTTGAATTCAGATATTATTTTTTCATTTCATTTATCACCGTTACGTATTTAGTGCAAGTAGTTATTGTACGAAACACTACGTTTGAGCTTAACTATCAATTTAATCATTGTCATTGTTTTCATTTCATTTTATTACACTTTTAATAAATATGGAAACTTACCCTATTAAATTCTTTTTGCTAAACAAAAATGAATTAACTTACGAGGTGCTCATTAGAGGCGAGGAACCTGCGTCAACTGTACTCGAATTGCGTAAACAAATAAATAAATTAACACCTATCATACCTACTTCGGATATTTGCGAATCGGGTATAAAAGCGGACGTGGATATTGCTGGTGCTACCGCATCTTTGAGTGAATTGTTACAGCGCATTAAAGTA